ATGTCTCACGTGTGACGTGACTTGATGCGCTCGTTCGCCTCCGCTGCACTCTCGAGGCACTCTAACGCATCGCCTCCAGAATACCATTCACCGATTTTCTTGCGCAAAACATCAAATAAACGTTTTGTTCACTCTCTCAAGACGCAAGACCATCGTCTTCTGACGACATTTGCGGTTTAACATGCTGATACGAGGCCAATTTTATTATTAGTGAGCCGTACAGCTTCAATTGATTCAACTTCCATGTTCTTGAAAACTTAAAACTTCGTAGGGAACACCATCGGGACCAGGTCTCGCTCCTTCGTGAGAAGTTTTAAGTGCGGCCATGCCGAAAGTATTGGATATGTCATATTCGGCACTTGGGTCAAATTCGTCAATCAAGGGACAAGTTATAAATGATGTGCTGCCATAGTTCGGAAAAAAATGTACTTGCAGCTTGCTCAGCTAATTATTGTGGCGTACTTCAAGTCGACAACCTAACGCTCGCTCCAGGGTCGTGTTGCTTGTGACCGCGTTCCATTGACTGGAACGTGCGCTAAAGGGCTCTGTTTCACATGGCAGATCCAAGCTTCTCATACCACTCATACCACTGTCGTGGAGAAAGCTGCGTTTCGTGACGACGTGCTTTTGCTGCCATATGGTTCTCATGTGCACGGCCACCTAGTACAACGGGATTCTTCAACGCATACAGTTCTGCCTGATGTCATTTCACCCAAAGTTGCGAAAGAGCGAGATCCGGCTGAGGTTGTGGTTCGTCTATGGGGTCACGATTGTGTTACTGCGGAGCCATTCTTGCAAAGCAGGAAGAATTTCCGAGGGATTGTTGGGTACTTGATGATTCCCGAAACTCATTCCAATGTGTGATCACTATGGATTGTTGAATTTCATCTATGTATGTTCTATCTAAAACAATCGCAATCGCCTTGTGGTCACTACCCCACGCATCCGGCTCCACCCACCACTGTGGCGTCCCCGAAGCTAACCACCACGCAAAGTCTGGAGCATGCGTTTCCGATGCTGTGCGTATAGAACAGGTAGACACAGCATGACGGTTATAGCAGTGTAAACGTGGCATCAGTGATGATGTTTTCTACTCGACGTCCTCCTCAGGAATTGTGCTTGTATCCCCAATCTGTATGTGGAGCATTGAAATAATCACCTACAAGGGTAGCAATCACCAGGTACGTAAAATGAAGACGCGCCACTCACCTTCAGTATAGACGTGTATGCTGTGTCTAGCATAGAAAGACAATAGAATGACAAAAGTCTTTAATTGTCATGTCAGTACACAAACAACTTCTTAATTGTCAATAAACAATGCTTCTTTATTACTCACTGTTTGAGGATTGTGTGATGACGATTACATTGCGGCTTTTCTTGGAGCCGAGTGCATATTCGTTCAACATCTATCGTTCATGAATGTGCTACGACACCCATTGAAATCATACAGGGAGCACAGCTTAATATGCCCTTGAATAAGTAGTGCCCACACACGTAGCTTGTATTGAATATTGGCTTTATTTCTCTCAGCTTGGAGCTTAAGCCTCGACAAGCACACTGAACAATTCCATCACGTGACAGCTGCTGCAAAAAGTTAGTCATGATGCAAGCAATCCTGTATAAGGGATTTTTAGTACAGCAAGCTAATCTGAAACTACTGCCCGAAAAGATTGATTGACCTGTTTTGTCAGGTGGGGTGCTGGCGTAACTGGGAACGCGCCCTTGGTGGTTTGTTGCGTGTAGTTCCTGTTCTGTGACGCCCATAATTTCAAATTATTTCTGTGTGCATAGCCTCGCCATTCTTTAGGCCAGTGCGTCTATCCAAGCGTCACTGTCATCGTGGCTATTATCTGATTTAAGCTCGAATTCAGCTGACTTTGGCTGCTTAGTCCGGGAGTGTTTGCCGCGTTTAACCGTAAAAGAAAACAGTTTTGCCTAGAAGCCTTGTGTTTCTCCAACTATGAGCACCTCGGGCGCTTCAGCATATACTTCGAAGCGATTGTTAATTTTTACTATATTGTCTTCGAAGTAGCCTTTCATAGTCTCACTGTAGCCTTCTGTTTAGTCAGACGATTTCTGCTTTGTCAGTTCATGCTCAACAGATTTACATAGGCGACAGCGATATGATGGTTGGCCCTCCGGTTTGAGGTCAATAAAAACGCTGTGGCCAAAATGCCTGCATGCGTCTACGTTGAAAGCAGTGCCATCGAGTGGTGATCGTTCGACTGCGCGTGCCTAACCTGGCCTATTGTTTGGGCCACGCGCTTCACCCAAGAATGCCATTGTCTTCATAAACTTTAATTACGATGCACTAACAGAGCAGCTGGTAAAAACTGGGGAGAACTTTGCTCAAGTTCGCTGAGCAATCACACATCCAGTGCGATTGATTTCGTGAATTCGCCCTGTCATTTACAAACAAATCAGACCTGACACACCGGCCAGCAGCGTCAAGCTATCTTCTTGCGCTGGATCACGTGCATAGAGTCCGCATGATGACGACACGCTTGAGAGGGTGCCACTCAAAGATATCAGGGTAAATAGCTCGCTTCTTGGAGTTTGTGGTTTATCATGTGGAATCCATCGTATGATTATGAGGTGGGTGTAGTGGAGGGCACTGGAAATTTCGACTGTTTGCTGTTCATTATTGTTCACTGCCATCGTACAGCACATGGGATCTAAGCATTTCGCATGCATCTAAATGCGACCGTCACAGCCGGGACCGAGCCGGTGAGCTATGCGACAGAAAATATGCGCCGTAACTACTGTACCACTGCCACTTGTTATACCTGACGTAAAGTAAGTACACGCCTTCGATAGATACATTCTTGACTGGGTAATTCACATCACAGTTTTTTAGGAAGAACAACTTGGCCGAAACCGAGAAAGTTGCCTGAATGATTCACTGTCTAACTTCAATTCGGCTTAGAGCAACACATTCCATAACCTTACATAATGGGTAGCCCAAGAATAAATCCTTCTCTGCTACAAAATGTTTTTAAATGAACGCGAAAGAACGCGCCTAAGAATTTTCATATTTTACGGAAGAAGACAATCGTAAAAATGTAGCAGAAAAAAAATGACGAGACAGGAAGGACGTTGGCCTTTTAAACGTATTTTCTTGTGGTTACATGTCCCATCACTAAGGTTTTATTCTCGTGCTCGAAAATGTCACGTTACAAGTTCCAACTAGCTGAGCCGGTCACTTTAAAAGTTGGTTTTATATTCGCAGTTCACATTTTCTGAATCATTTGCTGGTTCGTTGATTTGACGTTGAGGTTTCTGACCTTACAGTTCACCACCGTCATGATAATGCGTCGCTGAGACGCTGCACGTGTAGAGGTATGCCGCACTGCTGTTAGGGAAGCTACCTACAGCGGCTCAGAGTAACCAATCAGTGCTGTTACTTCTTATGCTTCTTCTGTAACTGTAGAGTGCACCGACGCAAGGCAATGACAAAAAAGAACCAGTTCTAATGAATTTTTTAATGAAAACACTTTGATTTCGGATGACAGCGACAAAAAGAAACAGCAAGATTTCTGCTCTGAAGCGATGTTTAATCATTTGGCAAGGATAACAAAAGCCATGCACTTTGATTGGTTTTAACGTGGCGCAATTCATGCAATATTATCCTAGGAAGGTCATACTGTGCGCTAAAATTATGAAATGTATTCTAACCTAGTGTACTTGTGTTTTTAAGCACCACCTTTAGATACAATAAAATAACGGCGCAATGAACGGTGTGCAACGGCCGCCTAAGGCGAGATGATCCGCATGTACTTATCGGCGCATTCGGTTCGTTCTTTGCGAATGTTTTGACCGCATTTGAAAGTGGCTAATTCAGAAGCTTCAAGCCTCTAAAACAGGGCAAGCAGGTATTGTTGTTTCTAAGCGCCGCCATTACGGCCATATTTTTTTCGAAAGTTTTTAAGGAAAAATTTTTGGGCTATCTCCCCAAAGAAAATCCTGATGAGATGCGAAGCAGATGTCCGCACGGCGTTGAGCAGGTCGAAACGGGCGCCGATGCGGGTGCTGGAACAACGGTTTGAAGCGAAATTCGGGGTAGCATTTACTCGATCAAACGTTTGTTGGAAACGAAAAGACATGATAGGCTGGTCAGGTTTTGTGTAAGTTTTGTCGAGTATAAACGAGCCGAAAGAGTGTTTCCACTAGGAATGCGGTCGAGCGTCATGAGCGGTGGAGAGAGTGAAGTGAGTGAGAAGTGTGCAGCGAGCGGGTGGAGAAGCCGGCAGTGGCGTGCGCATCGTCGAGCGTGCTGTGGGGCAGAAAGAGACTGACGTCAGCGCGCACCTGCGAGGCAAGCGTGCAAAGAGAGCGTGACGTAGCATGACCAACTTGGCACCACTCCCACACGTGTGGTGAGGGGAACACGTCGTGGTGCGTTCGTATGAACGCAAGTACGTTCGGTGTTATGCACGTGATTCAAAAAGCTACTTATCGCCTAAAATAAAAGCAAGTACTTTTTACAGTTGTCAGAACTATCGCCAAGACCTCTGATATCGCATTTTATAAGTCAAACGGATAAACGTCCGTGAAAGGAACGAATTGTTCACAACAAAAATGCTCAAGTGCAAATTATTTCTGGTATTTCAGTCTTTAATAATTTTATATTCAAAATAAAGTTAATTGTTGAATAAACCGCTATTCGTTGTTGCAGTTTACATCATTCACAAGAACAATTAGGTAGAGATGCAAGTTAAATTACTACAGCTGGTGAACAATATTCTCTGTGCTTCACTATTGTTAGGCTGATGCATGGTGATACTTTTGATGAGCGAATGAGTCATAAAAATTTATGTTATTTCCTGTCTGCGTGTTAAAGAAGCTGAAAACAATGGTCATGTGCGGCTTTCTTTGAATGACAGTGTTATTGTCGCTAGTCTGATCACAATGATTCCCGATGTGTGACAAGGCGGAGAGTTCCGGCTGATATTCTTACTTAGATAGCTTGTTTTTCTTTAACATAGGCTTTATATGTTAGTAGCCTGACCTCAGCCAACACTTACTAAAGTGTTTCGGATATGTGCACGTGAAACTGACTGTTTTCTACACATTGCTCTGTGAAAAGGTCGGTGTTTCTTTCGTTGCCATAAAATTTGTGGCGTAGAGTGCATGTCGACATTTTATTCGCTTGGCGTGTCTGCGCAAAATGTCCCTTGCTGCCTTCGTGTGCCTTCTGTTTGGAACTGCCATAGGTAAGCCTTGCCTTGTTCACTTACTAAAATTTTCACGTCCACTGTGAAATCGAGTCATCTGGTGTAATGTTACTGCACTCCTTCCTACTGAAACAGAAAAGTGATGGATTATGAAAATTGGCCCTCTTTATTGAGAAAAGATCAGCCAGCATTTTCAAACTCATGTGCAAATTTTTTTGAAGCTAATCTACCTATAAAGGTCTTTTTAGGCCTAGAAACAAATGTTTTCGAATTACAAAACAAAAATGAGAGCTGCTAAAGTTATTAGGTATTATTTCGCATGGAAAGTTGAAAAGGTATAAAAAAGCAGAGAAACTATTTTTTTACTTATAATATTGTTTTTTGTTGCCCTTTTTACGACGTCACTGTGAATTCATTTTGTCTCTTTTTAGCAGTAAGGCCCAACATACGCTTCAAAGAATCTAAATACGAAACATGTGAACAACACATTCGCTTTCTCTACAACTAGTAATTTGTTAAGAAGCTGCCATAAAAAATTTGATATAATAATTTTGATTTATATGCAATAGACTTGAAAACCACTGATATTGAACTGACAAAAAATAAAAAAATGAAACAAAAGTCCAATGAGGTGACAAGTCTCTCGAAAAAAATATCAAGCAGAGTATTGTTTGACAGTTATATGAGAGATTCGTTAGGGTAGATGCTTCCTGAAGTTAACTATATCACAGCCATGCTCATGTAGCATAAAATATCATTAATGGGCAGCATTGAAGAGTAGTGCTGCATCTTCCTAATTACGTTCGACAGCTTCGGAAACGGGCTAACTCATGCACAGGTGCAGAGGTAATTGAAACGGGTTGATGGCAATAAAGTTTCGCAAAGTAGGAATTTTCCTGGTATTTGGCTCACCAGCTGTTGACATTGCAAGTTGAACAAAAAAAGGGAGGCCTTTATGCTACCGTTACAAAATATTTCGACCAGGCGTTTATTGCGACATTTCCCATTTTAAAACTTCTTTTTGGTATCGCTTGCATGAGGAAAGGAGGACACAATAAACTAGTATGGTAAAATTGAAAAAGGCAGGAAGGAAAAGATGAAGCTGGGGATGAAAAAAATCCGTAAACAAGGGTTCTCTCGAGCTGACGTTTTGACAAGCGAACTTGTATTCGTTGCCTCGAGGAGGACAAGCTCGATTTTCAGAACGTCAGCTTCACACAATCTCTGTTTACGGACTCTTTAGTACACTAAAACCGCTTTCTTTATTGCTCAAGCGTTTTATTGTGGTAGATAATTTTGTTCGAGCGTCACTTGCAATACACATTGAATGATGAGTGGTGAAACATTGCTTGAAATAGCATTTTATACCCTACTCAAATACCAACTGGTTTTCAGGAAGGCACCACAGGAGTACGGTTTACCCTGTAGTGCTTGAAGAACGTAGTGAGAGTGACGCTTTGGTCCTCCGAATTCACCATGGGCTGTCGCTTAAGCTTAGCAAGGTTTCAGTTGCCACAGAAGCCCTCAGGCTTAGAAGCAACTTCGATGGGATGTTCACCGATCACATTGTGAGTGAATTTTTGGAGATGATACTAATATTTTGCAAAGGTTGGCGAAGATTGTTTGGTTGGAGTATCAGTTTTTGGCAAGGGTTCCCAAAGTCTCAGCTAGGCATACATTAGAAGCCACAAAATTTAAGCGAAATATTGAGTATTTTGTACATCAGCAAGTATTGCAGATCTTATAGTCACATATTGAGGCCACCATTGTCAAAATGGTTATCAATCGCCACAGTCAGTCATTATGGTCAGCGATGTTCTTAAAGTAACCTCTCACAACTCTATAGATGCTTCTATTAAAAAAGACCGCTAAGCCTAATCATAACTAGCATTATCCCAATGAGAGATTCGCTGTAGAAATTTTATTGTTATCACTCTGCCGCAGCTCAAACATTCTGTCATGGTCTTTCTATTTCAATGGAAACAGAAAAAAAAACAAGGCTCCCGCAATCTGAGTGATATGCAGATGCACTCCAATGCACATCCAACATTACAGAAGCTCTTCCTGTACAGCTATAGTGTCAATGTGAAGTTGTTATCAAAGCAATGATAGCTTTTCAGCAATGTGACTTTTTGGGCGAGTCACAATGATGGTGGTTCATTTCGTTCTCACTGCGCAATAGCAAAATGTGCTCAAAGAGCGCCAAACCAATACTGGTGAGTATTCAATAAAAATATCACCTGCGAAGTGGGATAGCAATGAGTTTGCAAAAGATCTTAGAGCTGATAGTAAAAAACCTGTTAAAAAGATGATATTATAATAAAGTGCACTATGACAGTGGTGTATATGCGTTTCCATATTTGCCATATTTGCCATACTTTTAAAAGCAGTAGTTCGCTGAAAAGTTCAATATTACACGAATATAGATGGTCTGTGTTTTCAGAGTGGCATCCCGGGACAGCGGGGCCGTTTCCTTTCAATTTTTTGTTTCCATGGCAATTCGTGATACATCTCTGGTTTACTGGAAAAGTTATCGGGAATACACTAATATCAATTTACTTCACTCTCCCTGCCACCTCAACTGAGAAATATATGCTCTCAGACAGAGTGCTGCTTCGCGCAAGCACCTTGTTTTGCCATAATTTTGTGAAACGATATATCAGCCCTGTGAAGTCAATGCGGATTATTGTAACAAACGAAGTTTCGTTCGGCATGTGGTTGAACACCGCGAAGATTTGTGGCATGTGAGGTAAACTGATATTATTAGGGACAGCGAATCGCTTTTTTATTCCCATTTCGCATCTGAAGACTCAATATCTATGCAGATTAGGAAACGCAAGTATAATGAAAATGCTCTTTTTGTAATGTAGTCGATCATATATTTTCTACGATATCAATGAACGTTACTTGCAAATTGATGTCCTCTACTTTCGATGCATTACTAGTTCTTCAAATCTAAACTGAAGCACATTCAGATTTTTTAACGAGAGGTCATCGTGGATGTTTTTACGTCTTGTGTGTATTTATTGACATGAAATCATGGTGTCTTCCAATGAAAGTTCCTTGGTGTCTTGCCTTTTAAACAACTTGAAATGATGCGAAAGTCTAGAAATTTTATTTCCCAATTCCTAATTGCAACAGTGAGATGAAATTTATCAAAAACGGTGCTCTGTTTTTTCGTTTAAAGCACGTTTCCATAGGACACAAAAAAAGGAAAAAACTTGAGTGGCACGTATTTTTCAAGGTATAAAATGTTACAATACATATAAGAACATCTATAATATTTCAGTCTTCTGCATTTAGATAAATGGGACGGAAATCCAAGCATCATTGTTTGAAGACAAAGTCAACATGGCTACCTTGTCGGTCGAAAAGACTTCCGATGGTGTCAAAGTAGTAAGTGTAACAATGGCTTAGAACGAAATGCGAAATCTTTTGCCAATTTTGACAATTGTTTGGAACTGTTTAAAAACACCATGCTATAATATTTTAGAGCGGAAAGAGATGTGAACGTTTTTCTAGGGAAGTACTTTCAGAAGTATGCCCTCAGTTTATATGTTCTTTATGACAATTTCCGCACACAGAAAAAAAAATCACACTATCTCCAGTTTCTCTCCACAGTTTCTCCACAGTATCACAGTTTCTCTCCACTAATACTTCTCTCCACTTTCACTATTCACACTTACAGAATCGATAAGCTTCTAAAAGCGAAATGAGTGTACGTTTGCCATCGTCTGGAATAACAAATGTTGTATGCTGCCAAGGGCTGTTTTTAATAATTGTTATTGATAAACAATATCGCAATTCAGCAAACCGTTGCTTACTGAAAGGTATTTGTCCCTAAATATTGGAAAGTCTTCTAAACAGCTCGTAAAGATTAGCAAGAATATGTAACCGTGACATTTATAAATAAATATGTATACAGTATGATGATATGGAAACTTATACTTAGGGTTAAAATTTTTTCCTAAGATACTTTTCTTGTTTAGAGTTAGTTAAAAAAAATTAAGGGGCCTTTTATTTGTGATAAGAACTTTGGTGTGGATATTACAGCCATCGCTTTTTAAAGCGAACAGTGCACAGCGGCACAGAAGACAAAACACGGGACAGTGCTTGCTAAATTAACCAGTGGGAAGGGGGATTGGATGACTTGTACTCAAAGAAGGCCATTTTCGTGGTACACTTCGAGCCAGTATGGCTACTTAGAACTTTGCGACATTTTAAAAGAAACCTAACGCTAAGAGGCTTGATCCAGTACTGGACTGGATGTTCTCTGCATGGTTCAGTATTCCACAAATAAAAAAAAATCTTTTTTTTTCCTGCAAGTGAAAATCAAAAAGAGCAAACATTTAGCATATCGAACAGACCTCAATCTTTTGTCAGATAAAACGGGTCAACAAAGAACGCGTTTGCCATGAAGGTTTTTGTGTCGTCTCTATATGCGTGGAATGCGTTTAGCTCCCTTTTATTGACGACCTTGCAGTGACCTTGACCTGAGTGAGTCATAGCTGTTATTTGGAACATACAGTGGTATGTTTCGAATATTCTATTGTTTTCTGTAGTAATGAAGCCACGGCTTCGTTACTAAAAAAATAGGAGAAAACAATATCATACAAGCAACCAGTAAAAAATTTACACATTTTTGGCTATGGTGAAGAGCCCTTTGTAGAAAGTCGCATTACATACTGTTCACATAAAAAGGCAGCGCGAAAACTCGGGAAATAAAGAAGGACAGTAGAGAAAGAACCAACTAGCTCAAACCAAAGTACTTCTGAAGCATTACGTACGTCGGCCACTGCACACATGAGTGACAAAAACATTGCTTCCAAACCGTCAATGTTTCCTGACAGTATCAAGGAAGCAGTAACTTGAAGTAGGCCGTAATCCAGAGGCATATACTAGGTGTCATGCACTTCAATGTCAACATTTATGGCTGAAAAAAAATTGTCTGTGCACTTTTCATCGCCAGCAGCCCATGAGTTTTTGCGGCAGGCTTCTCCTCACATCCTTCCCGAGTTGTGTTTGGAAAGAGTGTGTAACGATTTTGAGTATTAGGTGCACTACAACGGAAGAGCATAAAGCCGTCCCATGGGCCCTACGCTATGAGTCCTTATTTTGCATCCTTGGCATGGTGTTACCCCCAAAAATTATTCTCTGCCATAGCCGTTTATTGTTTCTCACGTTACCTCTATTTATTTTTAAATGTAACAATTAAACTTTCACTGTTCGTGATCAACTTTGCCACTAGTAGATAGAGGTTGTTACAGAATTAAAATACTGAAAGGAATGCAAGCAAAATAGGAGTCGCACGAAGCATTATAGCATAAAATTATGAGTGTGCATTTACTATTAACGCTTTTACTTGGGCTTTTTTTTTCGTCAGTAACAATGTTATATTCTGCTCAAGCAGCACACTCTGCAGCGCAGCTGACCTAGTGGAATAACCTATAGTCATTGCACAGACAATATTTCTCACTTATTTCTCAACTTCCATCCCAAAACCTGTAACTTGTGGAAGCAAGCAAAAACAAAAATCACCGAAGCCTAAAGGTACCCCAATTTTTCATTTTTGGTGGCACGCAGATGGGATTGCTTAACCCTACCGAAAGAATTGAGCCGGCTCTCTTTGAACGAAGATTGATTCCGGGTAGGCTACCCCACGTTGTGAAGAAGATCCAGCAGCCCTTAAGCTTGGAGCGGATCTCTGAACAGAAGCTGAAAGGTAGTACTAAATTTTAAACTGATTAATGCGTCAAAGACTTCACATGCGAAATTTTAAACCGACAAATCAACGCCAGAATAACGAAACCAGGTAATCATTACTGACTGGCCTGCGAGTGCAGTTCTTCACACACTGGTTTTGTACAAGGAAACTAGACTTTCATATGTAGTAGGGATAGAACATGTCGAACTGCGAGCGTGAGGCTGAATACACAATTTCATAACGTGATATCGAGAGAATTCACAACATTCATTAGCATAAAGCTCATTATTCATAAAGCTCATTATTCATTAGCATAAAGCTCAGCATTCATTAGCATAAGCTGGTGGCACCTTCAGAATGTTTGGCAAATTGACAGTGGTTCCTGTTTTCACGTAGTTGGCGGTGAGCTGGGCAGCACCCTGTCAGACAGATTGCCTGGGGGGGGAGAGGACAGATGCGGAAATTTCTTATCTCGTTCTTTCATCGCAATAAATTCTGGCCTCAAGCTAGCGAACGAGAGCACTTGATAACAAGCAAGAACTATATATAAGCGGAAAAAGAAGCCAGGAGCACACTCTAGTCCTGTTTCTTGCTAGAGTTATTACAGAGACTCTAGAATAAAACAGAGTGAAAAAGAAATAGCCACAAAAGCGCTGACATCTTGGAACGTTATCATTGTTGCCTACCAAATATCTTAAAGAAGCGCCAAATTTAAACGTTTAGAACACTCAAATTTTCACAGTACAAATTGTAAACAAGCGTGTTCACGTATTTTAAATAAACAAAAGTTGTAATACTATATAAACTGCTTTCAGAAACGATACAATAGCCATTTATACAATTTACTGAGCGTGGAGAGCAGCGTTTGAAGCTTTTTTCAGTAGATGGCACCACCATTCTTATAACGTTGAAAGCGTGGCTATGCGGCGTGTGGTCGATTGCGCCGACTTGCTTGCACGTCGGGCGAGTCGATCTCCGTGTATTTTGTAGCCATAAGCCAAAACCTCGACTACATCTGTCAGCCTCATAGTAAAATGTAACAGAGACCCACTAAACAGAGAAAATACCGGCTCTAATTGCAGCATGCAGAGGCGACTGCGAGTGAACTTAACCCGAGAGCTGAGTATCGTTCCACCATGGCGCCACCTGAGTGGTTATGGGCTTCAATGCATGGGCCCTATGGGGACCTTTTCCTCTAGGGTCTGTATAATAACTCTATGGCTCCTTGTTATTGCGCGTGGCCATACCCAACTGTGAAAAATGATAAGCGTCGTCTCAACAAGAAAAAATGGAACACCATCGTACGAAGAATTGCTGGTCTACGACAAGGTACATGATCTGAAGATGCATCGTAGTGCGCTAACGCTAATCTATAGTACTTTCTGAGGCATGGGACGTAAATTATTTCATGTTGCACGTGCCGCCACGGGGACAACGTTAGTTTATCAGGCACAATTTCATAGACTATTGATCTGAGCAATGGCGTTATCTCTTAAAGTCCGAAATAACAGCGTTGGAGCTTCTCACTAAGTCACCAGAGATCCGCGCCATAATGCGATCACCGAGGTGCGCACCCTTGGCGTCCTCGCCGTAGTTTCTAGAATTAGGTGTGTTGGTTTTTACGAACTTCATCCTAATGCTAGGGGCTTGCCTATTATCATACAGCTCCTTCAATGAAGATGACATTGACGCTGATGACGATGAAAAACAAGCCCGTTGCAGAGTACGCAATTCCTTTTTTTTTCAATCTTTGCACAGCTGGTGTGAGGTACCCCTTACACACCATGACGACGATAATGACTACTGAGCCCTCATTAGGCCACTAAACCATTTATCAACCTGCTGATAAAGTGAGGTATCCTCTACACACCTGTAAGGCTGTCTCCATTGATTTAGAAAGTTCTCAATAGATGCCGCGCAGCCGCTCAAGCGGCATGCGTCTGTGCGCTACCCGTCTTGAACACCCGCGAAGCTCAGGCATTGGCGTGCAGGGCTCGAAATGCCGCTGCAACACATTCTCACCACCGAGACACTACGGTGAAAGCTCGCCCGACCGAAGCGAAGCAGGTTCATTGACAAGCAGAGGCTGCGGTGAGAGCCCGTCAAAGAGAAGGGACACATGATGTGGCGTTACGCTTTCTAGTGTATTTGTATTGATACACCCATGCAACCCCAATCAGGGGCACTTGTACAGACATCGCCTTCTGGAACCTTTCACTACACCCTATAGTTCAAGCTTGTCTAGCTTTGCACAAAAGTGCTTGAAACGCGTTGCAAACGCGCTGCCTCAGGGCACTATAGGCATCGCCACAAGCTTTTTCTTTTTTTTCTTTCTTACTTACTTTTGCACATCATTCAATAATAATACAGTGCATAAACAGTACATACAGCGGTAACAAGCGAAATGGTTACATAGTGACTCGAATTCTTTTATACGAATAAGTGGCTCAAGATGTTCGAGCCCCTCTGGAATCGGGTCTTTAGTTTTAGACTCTTCAATAAACTTCGTCAGCTTTTGGCAGAAATATTCACGAATGGGCAGTGTATAGATGTCGGCATGGCGTACTGTCATGTACTTTTTCTAAATACTGTGAAGGCCGAACAACATAACAGCATCATAAGGGGCTCCATCGTCATCTTAATTTACTGGTAAGAACCTGATCTCGTAGGCATCAATCATTTCATGATAATTGAGCGGACGTAGAGATAATTCATGGTTTACCGGAGATGGCCTTTGCAGCAAGCTCATCATCATTCACTTCGTGGATATGTTTGGAGAGTGTCTTGCCGCGTGCTCGTACCGTTTGCGTTGACTTGTTCTTTGTTGTTATCAGTGTCATCGTCATTGAGTGAGCGCTTACGGTGATGGATAAGCCCTGAGCATGATGAGCAAGCTTCTGAGGAAACACCGTAACTGAGCGCACATAAACTTCAAACTATCAAGGGCGATATGTCGGCTACCTAACATTTAAAGTTTCGCATACGTGTGGATAGCGAAAACTCTATGAGAGAAGCTAATACCACCTTCATACATGCGGAAAGCGCTTACGCCACTCTACCGTCAGTATTGTTGCATAACTGGAAATACAACCTCCACTGTCGACGCATGTAAATTATTGCCTACATTAGTGCAGGTACCACGTTTCCGTGGGTGTTACACGTACCTTTTCTCTATACATCACATTTCCGCCGTGATAAACGAGCGGTTGTCCAGCGCTCACTTTATCGTTTTTTGAATGACGCGTCTCCAGAGTGGCTACGTCATTCACCGCTCGAGAATACAGTTATTCATGTTTATCACGCTTGTGTGCTCTTAATGCAGGATCGAATGAAAAAAGAAATGCACAGTTTGTGCCAAACAAAATTATATCAGTGCACGAGGAGACTTGAAATTTGTACAACCACGTTGCTCATTCAGCTCTTGTACTTCTACAAATTAAATTAGGGGGTAAACATTGAAATGCATGTAACACAAATTTTACGAAAAGGAGAGTGTGAAATTCACCGGTAGTTTATCATGCCGTTCAGAGCTCAACCACTCGGGGCCATAGGTTGAAGTTCAAGTCAGCATTCTCTGTGGTATTAGCCTGGTTGTCCGCACGCAATGGGCTGCATGGTAGGTGGCAAGTTCACCACAAAATGTTGGTTTAGGGTGATTTTGTAAAGATGCCTAAGATACTGTACGTTAATTAACTTTCTTGAACCATTGGAATGCGCTTTGTTGAAAGTGCGGGAAAATTTACGCACATTTGTATTCCTGCTCAGACCCGAGTAAAATTATGGGCGCACATGTGAAATCAAACCGTAATTTCAGAACGCACAAACATACCCCATTTTTCCAGTAAAACAATTGAGACTGTATGCCAAACAGATTTTGTACAGCAGTGTGTGCGATAACATGAACGCTTAGTCTTATTGCATGGAAAACGAACATAAGCCCTAAAATAAAATTTACCTTTTGCGCGCGAAAAGAACTTTCGCATATTGTGAAACTGCTTGCAGCAGTGTCACGCATATGTGACGACAGCGAAGATGTTGTACGTAGTGCACCAGAACTTTGTTTGCTTTTTTTACCAGGCTCAGTTTCAATGAGCACATCTTGAATTTTGGTTCACGAGTTTTAGAGTACCGCTTGCTTGTGCAGGTCTTCCCTCAGGATGCATATCGGCCTTCTTCGATTTACGTGGTGGATAGCTGTCGAATTCTGAGCCACACCTTTCTTTCGATACCAGGAAATGGTCAAGAGACAGCTGCGACATCAGACAGTTTAAGCTCCATGTTGTTATGGGCGGTTATTGTCTCAAGAGACATTCCGGCTCTTTGTCGCATATTGATTTCTTGAGGAAACAAATGTCAAAGCCTCCTGCCAAAGAGCCTACTACAAACCGCATTGCATTGACAAACGTACGCTGGCAAATGCACCATTAAGACAAAGTAGGCATAATAATGTACGTTTGAAGACAGAGCTTGTGATGACAAAATACTCGCCGTTTGGTTGAAAAGACAAGCGATAACTACTGATAAATCATTATTAGGTATATTTAAACAACAAAAAATATGACTAGATATTTATTGAGTGATTTCAAACTTACCGGGATGCCATCAGTAGAATGTCGAAGTGAAGAACTCTCCCCGGATTGAAACCACTTTAACATATCTTCCACTGTAGAGTGTTTGTTGTATAGCTGTCCGGACCACACCTCATAATAGAAAATGCGATTGCACCAAGAATGGTGGCTCAACAGTATTGTGACTTTTGACCACCATAAAACTGTGCATTTTAATGCATTGGGGCCTCAAGAGAATATGTGTCACAGATGCACCAGAGAGAGGTGAACTTTTGCAGCCTTTGTTCTGTAGCGCAGCTTCCCAGCTGCACAATACATGTTCCTGACAATTGAACTTATACATGGTTTGAGTGCTCCTTCTACCTTCAAAGACATAATTGAAAAATTCTGCCTTTTTTCTCATTTTTTTAGAGATTTCATCCAGAAAAGACGTCCCCACGAATATGCCTAACACTGTACCTATTGAAGTGTACATCGTGTCTGATGAAAGTCACAATAGAAGATTCGCTGACAGTGACTTTCTGGTGTATATATGCATCTTCTTGAATACCGTAAGCAGATTGGCGACTGTAATTTTGTGCCCACTACATATTATATAAGGTGTCCTAAGTCCGAGGAACGAAATGTATCTATGATTAATTATACACGTATATTTAGTTTATATTGCTGCGATTTAGTGTGTCTTGTATTATGTTAATAGCTAAAAGACGTTTCATATATGCATAAACTGAATATATTGAAATGATATTGTAGCGTAGTATTGGTTTCTTTATTTAAGGGCAGTTCAAAAGAATGTGCTGCAATCCCTCAAATGTGTGTTTGTGGTAACTTTCAGTTCCGTCATCCACACGTCACAACCCTGACGTCTGTTCTTCATGTGACATAATATTGAATATAATGTGTTGAAGTAGAAAGCTCCGGTAAAGCAGCCGAAACATTCGTCGCGATTATTTTATCATTCAAATAATAATTATATCTGGAGCCCCCTTGGATCATCTACTGTGCGACATGTTCACTATGAGCCTTGCACTTGCACTAACATGAAATAATGAATGCCGTTTACGGGCGCGGGCCTTTAAGGGCACGACACGTGCTCAATATAGTATAGATGTGATATGACGTCACCGTACTCACAATCAAGAGGTCTATACAGGCGTAAAGTTAGCGAACAATGCTTAAAGCGGGGGTAAAATGAACCCTTTACAATATTAACAGTAAAAGAACAATTATCGCAATGATTACTTAAAACCACTAAAAACACACCAGAAACTTGTGGCTGACACTCTTTCGAGCGAGAAACCTCGATACGCGCACGACTCTTCTCTCACTACAAAACTTCTCCGACGCTGAATCTGAAGGAAGCTGAGGGGACTTCCTCGAAGTTGCACGCTTCTGACCTGCGGTAATGCACATAAATTACAAGAAGCACAGCAAAGTGCAGCGTGAATATGGAGCACCAACCTTGCGAATCTGCCAAACAAGACTGTACGTGGGCCGTGAAACCCGTGCTTGCCTAAAACAGTGTTGTCATCGACGGTTCGGTAAGCGGACCAGTGAGAACTTTACATATGCGGATCACTGGCTGTCCGTGCTGAACTCCAGCAGTCATGAGGGAGCACTTAGTGTCAGACTTAGAACTACACTAATCACTGCACGTATATTAACTTTTCATTGTTATTTCACTGAGGTGGCATCTTTGGCTTAATCATCCATGTTGCGCCTTGAATAGATTCCTGTTATTGTTTTTTTGTCTTTTCTACAATTTCCTAATATTACCCATACGAAAAAGGTGAAGTCTATCAAAAGTGCTAACTCTAGTCGTTTGAGAAAAATTAGCTTGATTATGCATGAACAAAAATATATGCGATTAGCTTGAAACCGAAATATCTGTAGTGCTCAGACTTCGCCTCAAGTTGTAGAACACATATTTATAGTCCGTGAAAGCTGTACATATTTATTTTACAGATAAAGATTATATTCAAGAACCTGGTTAGCCCATCTGTAGAAGTATTGCTTGTTGGGGTGGAAAAAAGCAGCAAGGCAAGTCACATTGTTACTACATTGTTAAAGCTGCTCTTACTATACATATTTTGTTATATTCATCCCAAGTTTTGTATATCTACATGGCTTCATTCCTGTGTTAGCTATACTTTGTCCACACTCTCATGAATGATAGCGCTCCTCAAACCTCACATGCTGCAACTACTGGTTTTTAATAGTTACATTCTCCATATTCTTAATGGCATACATATTGTCATAAAACATTACTTCTCTCTCTCTGAATATATATATATATATATATATATATATATATATATATATATATATATATATATATATATATATATATATATATATATATATATATATAAGCAGGCATGGTGGTTGAGTGGCCGAAGCGTTGCATATAGCCAAGTAGATCCTCCGTGAGCGGTCACAACATAATTTATTTCGACTGTACCTTTAATCCTGATGACGGCCCGACTCTAGGTCGAAGCGTCGAAATAAACTATGTTGTGACTGCTCACGGAGGATCTACTTGATCACAGATATATATATATATATGTGTGTGTGTGTGTGTGTGTGTGTGTCTATGATCTCTTGTGAGAATTTGATATAAGAAGTGTTAGTTACTGATTCAACCAAGCAATATACGTGGTATTTTGTGAAATATAGAAATGGTTTATTCAACAGAATCAAGAATATGAATACACTTTTGGCAGTGATAAGCTTATAAATGACGTGACTTCATTGCATATGCTCGAAAAATATGTGATGGGTCATTTGAAACAATACGGATATCCGGACGTGGTTCTACTTCTGACAGGGTAAGCAGTCATAACAAAAAAGGATCTTCTACAAAGTGAACCATGAATCTAAGTTGCATTACAATTTGTTTTTTTTTTGTCTGCCTGCAGTAGTTCTGGCTTTAGTTTTCTTGAAAACATCCCATTGGGCATTTCTTAGGAATTTGTCAGTTAACGGTATTGTATGCAGATAATTATAAATAGGTTCAACACATTAAAGAGTATGATTCCGGTATTTTAGATTCCAATCAAAGCCTTACCATTTCATTCAACATAATCTAAGTTCCAAGCATTTTTTTGTGATTCGGAGAGTGTTTGAAACGCTGCAATAGCCTGTAAATATAGAGAATATTTTCTGCAGTCACTATAACCTTAAATGACTTCATTTGACTAGCTTGTCACGCCTGTTTATTCACTTTTAACAAGTGCTGACGATAAGACAAAAATAGCAGCCATACGAAATGGTAGAGGCCAATAAATTGTGCACGTTAAAGAACATCAGATAGTAAAAATCTCCGGAGTCATCCACAACGGTGTATCTGGTAATCACATCATAGTTTTGGACGTAAAATCTAAGATACTATTAGAATAATAATTATATAAGCCCTGAATAGTGTCATTCTTTTAAGGCGCGAAAACGGGAGCTGTTCTAAAGTATAAATCTGACTAACTTGTTATTTTTCAGGCGCGATATTTACGAAAGCTCTCTTGGTGGAATAAACAAAAATGTTGCAGGTGTGTATTATTTTTGTGTCAGCATCACAATTTGTGTAATTTAGATTGCACAAAGAAATGTTTCAAAGCATTCTGTAAGACTATTAGGCTTATACTTTATAGTTATGGCTTAGTCGGTGACTTAAGTATGGCTAGCGCAAGACCGCACACTTGTATTAACATGTACAATTTTACTGCAACGATGTTGGCAGTGTAGAGTTGTAATTTTATTTATTTATTTATTTGTTCATACTTCAGTCTCAAGCAGAGAATACAGCAGGTGTGATACAATTATACATGCTATAAAAAAAGCTCAATAGTTTTCGAAGAAAACACATGAAGTGAAAAATACAATGCAAACAGATAAAATTGAACCCTGAAATCATCCTTGCATCGTCGAAATAGGACCATTTTGATTAAAACGTCATCACGTCCGCCATTACAAAATAAAACAAATTTCACAATCACTCATCAATTACTTTCAATTAAGGTCAAGAAACTGAACAAGAACACAACAGAATTTAACATCAAATAGTAACTGTACAAGGCAAGAGTACAATAACGAGCGCAATAAACACAAGAAGGAATAAAATTTCAAAGAGAAAATTTATCAAATTGAACAGGATAATGCAATAAATTGGAACGCATAATAAAAGGAGGTATATTAAGTGGTGCTAACGAGCTACTGCAAATTTTTTCAAACAAAGCAAGCGAGGGTTATGTTACAATATTGTTGGAGAGGTTATTCCAATCACCAATAGTTCGAAAAAAAATTAGTAATTAAAGCAGGTATTTCGTGGAAGTAGAGGGGTTATCGTGAAAGAATATCTTAGAGTGGTTTCGTAACCCTGATAATAATTGATAATGGGAGAGGGGTCTATGTTATAATGCCCTCTAACTATTTGGTAAAATATTTAAGCCAGCGAATTCTCCTCTTATTGCCACTGAGGGCAACCCAGATCATTTGAATGAGTTCAGTAATTGATGAACGATCATATGAGCATGTAAACAGAATAGATGTAGCACTCGTATAGTTTCTTGCATCATCGAAACTGGAACATGTTGTATAACACGTAGTCACGTCCACCATTACAAATAAAAGAAATTTCACAATTACTCCTCATTTTGGAGATCAGAAAAAAAGACATAGTCAATCCGCGTATAAGTCTTTTTTTCAGAATTTAATTTTTACACAATGTAATGGCAGAACATTTTACCTTTAAAGAAAGAAAAATACAATTTTGCACCCTTATTCTTAACCTCTTCGCATTATCAGGCGCTACCACATAACTACTTTATATTGCAAAGGCCTTTTTTGTAAAATTTAGTTGTGCATAGAAAAAGTCGGGATAGATATGATGCGTATGGTTCCTTATTTGTATGATGCTGTTTTTTGGCAAACTTATTCTTTGTGTTCAGATGACCTTGTAATAGCTTACTATGGAATACCGAACTCGAAAAGGTGTACTAATCAAGAAGTTCTAGTCAGCGACATATTCAAGAAAAACAAAAAAATGGGATGAGAACGGGTTTTCGTTACTTTTTTTTAATTCACCCATCTTGGTACATTAAGCCTTGACTTATATTAAAGATAAAAAAATCTTCAAAGTGACAAAAGCAAGTTAGGCCTTTATTAAAATAGATCACCTTTTTCATAACGCTCTTTTTTACCACACGATTGATTTAACGAAACTTGCCACACTGAATAAGTCATGTAAACTGTATGTGACGTTTATGACGGTAATAGAACCTTGAAAATAATTGTAACGCTTTGTAAGGGTGCTTTTGATAGGTATCTCACATGAACTTCGTTCGTGTAATAACGTGTTGTTCGTAGAGGGGATGCATAATTTGATATAGCTGATGTGGCCCTCGCATTGTTTATAAATAAATGCTGAAGTTTAACTGTGTTAAATGCCAATCATCTTTATGAAAGGCTTCACTGCAACTATTAGATAAGAGTTACCAATGCAAGACACAGTGAATGTAACTTTTTATTAAACCTCAAACAGCCCTTATGTTCAGAATTTGAGTAGGATATCTCGTACTAAAGCTTACTTTTTTTGTCGGCACGTGCAAGGAAATACAAATGAACTAAGCCGATAATTGTGTTTTCATTGAGGCTTCCATGTTTAAGCAGCGAGTTACGCTACGAGTGGTAGTTCATAGTGTGAAAATTTACTGCTTTTTAATAATTTCAAAAAATGAAGATACAAGTACCTTTGGTAACTGTCAAACGGAAAACGCTTCACTCTCTAGTAAAACGAAGCACACAGAGAGATATTGACATTTTTCAGTATACCACAGCGCTTTCACTTATGCTGTTGGCCTCTATGTATTTGAAAATGTTTATATATATGACACAGTTCAGGCAGATACACCCAAAAATATCTAGTAGAAAAGCAGCTGTGGTTGTTTCATTCTAGATTTTTTCAATATAGATAAAAGCTTGATATATCACCATTTCAAATTACACAGGAATTGCGTACGAAGGCGGCGTCTGCACCGAAAGGCGTGTGGCTTTGGCAGAAGACACTCCGGGTGCATTCAGTGGCATTATTGACGCAGCGCATGAACTTGGACACAGGTGAGAAATGACTGAACTTATCTTCACTGATAAGCTATTTACATACAACGTTGATTTGCTGAAATAAGCCAGAATACTTTTCTATAAAGTCTTTAGACGGTATTGTTTCAAGTAATAAATAGGGTTCGTGCCACGTACTTTGTACGCACGGTACGTGTGTTACACTGCGCGGATCACGAATAATGGAGTTCACATACGGAAGAGCCCAATAAATGCTAGAAACTTTAGACAGTCATGAACATTGAATATGTTTTTCTACAGCCTGGGTGCTTCGCATGATGGAACTAGACCAAACACACTTATACCAGGACACCCTGGTTCACTGAATTGCTCTGCTAAAAGCGGTCGCCTAATGACGTACGTCGATGGTGGACATCTTCGCTACAGATTCTCTGAATGCAACGAAAGGGAAATTCGTCACGTGCTTAGGTAAGTAACCAAACTTAAGCTGTTTTGACTGCAGCATTGACTGCCTCTCAGAAGACTGCTATTAGGAAATGCTCAGGGATATATGAAGAAACGTTTCAATATTTCAGTGTTTGAACAATTGCACGTTTGACAAGAATAACGAAGGACATCAAACTTTGGAGTTTCTTTTGCTGGAAGCAAATTTTAGTGGGCTGTTTGCAATGCTAATGATGATTCTTGAATTACCTAGCTTGTTTTTGACAGTTGCCGCCGTATGGAGATGATCATTATGGTGCAGCAACATGCCTGGTTGAGATAGTAGACAAAGCTGGCAATCACTCCGCTTGAGTGACTGCTTTCATATAGCATGTTTAACCATACATTACTTGAAACGCGTCTCGAGTAAGAAACGCATGAGTATACTCATGCGTTTAGAGTATAGCCGCTTCGTTGCAAATAAACCGCATGTCTGCTTGAGTTGTTCGTATGCACTGCCAAGTGCTACGTATTCTTTAATTGCTGCTAAATAAGTGACACGTCCCTGCGCATGAGTGAAGAAGGCTGAGGTGCGAGTTTCTGGAAGAGTATGGGTTGAAGCCCACCTCGTGCTTAGGGCAAAAAAAAAAACGGAGCACTGATTAGTCGTAAAAAACGTGTGTCCCTGCTGTTAAATACAATTTCATGGTCACCGAAAATTTCTGCACACCGGGAACACGAGAATGCCAGAAATATCACTTTACCACAGTTATTTTATTACACATTTCAGAACAGTACCTCCATTTTTTCTCTTTCTTTAATCTCTTCACCCCTGCCCTCAGTTTAAGGTAGCTAAGCGGACGCGTCTTTTGTTAACATGCCTGCTTTTTTTATTCCCTCGTTTCCTTTTCCATCTTTCTGAATATTATAATATACAAAATATACGAGTGAACACGCATACCGAGCAAAAAAGCAGTTGCGATCAACAACGTCAATTGCAACAGAAGCTCAAGGGTTGCCCAATTTTCTACGTCCCCTAACTCAAATTCAACCTTTGCCTATTCCAGAAGCCCTTTAGTTGACCAGTTCAGAGAGTGCAGGGAGTCTCTGCTCTTTTGAACGCCAGAGGTGAGCAAGTGAAGAAGTTTCGCAGCAGTTGTTGACGTACGTTTTGAAGAGGCGGCGCCACAGTGTGCGTGGCGTACTGTGTTGCCATCGCGTCATGATTGCGTCGACCACATACACTGAATCCAAGGACTGTTTTGCCACAGCAAACACTTGCGTTCACTGGAGGAGTGCATAGTGTATTATGGTGTATTTTGGTCGTGGGTGCACCTGGGAGCATATGCGTAATTTTAGGCAGCACAATTTCCAGCCTAAAGTATTCTGCCTGTGGACATTTCATCCTATCATTTACTCACTCTACCGTTCAGGCAGTCAATTTTACAGCGAAAGCTGTTATGAGATCACGACTCAGGTTTCGCGCAGCGCTATAGTTGACCGCCGCCGCCGATGACTGTATCACATCGCAAAAAATTTAAAAAACAAAACCTTGCCCTAATGACACAGTAGGACTCGAACCCAGATCCTCTGGTTCCGAGCCCAGTATTCTACCACTGAGCCCCACTGGTGCTTAGAATTTCTTGGCAAACTTGCTTTAGGCAGGCTTGAAGTCGGGAAAGCAATCGCGTTATTACGACTTACAAAGCGTTTTAAAAACAGCAAAAAAAAACAAGCAGTCATCGCGCAATCCGAATAGCGTAACGAGTTGGTCATTCAGTGCTCCAACTCATTAAAAAAGCTTGCCTTTCTTCAGCTATAAACTGTGGCGCATACCCACTTGAAGCATAATTCATCATGGTCCTCAGCCACTGCAAAAACAATTGGCACACAATTGCTTGCAATAGTTAAAAAGATACCAGGCTTCTCAGAATAATGACAAAAGTTAGCATAGCGAATGCCAGGCTACTACCCTAAAATTTTTAATGGCAATGCCATAGTGGGCATCAAGCAAGTGTGCGTGCAGCAGTTAATCAATGAGTGTCTTTTTTTTTCTAGAAAAGGCTCTGAAATGCCGCTCTTCTAGCTTTCCCTGTGACGTGTTGCGCCTTCCGCGCAGGCCTGGCGTCTTAAAATCACATTCTGAAAGTACGACAAAAAGTTAGGTACAGTAAGATCTGCATAGACATTGGGAGCATTTGTATAACGTTCTCAAAGAAACTTTCGGTAATGAAAGTAACTGATTCGGGGGCCAAATGAGTTCCTTTAACATTTCTACGTCCTTGTTATGCATCAAATTAACTATGCCGAGAATTTCTTTTAGAACTTTTCACAAACGCTCCTGATGTCTCTGCAGATCTTACTAAACCTAGCTTTTTCTCGCATTCTCACGATGTAATTTCCAGACTAGCTTGCCCTCGCCAAGCATTCCTTAGCTCTTGGTAAAGCTCGCAGATTTCTCGAATCGGTCCATTTAAGTCGATGCCTAAAGGGCATACATTGGTATGCCAGTCGCTGGATTTTTTCTCACTACACCGCAAAATCCCCAGCCTAATCCCCAGCCTGATGAATGTAAAATTTCCATGAAATACCCTCGAAAATCTTCAGCCTAATCAATGTATGTGAACTGTTTACTCATAACTGTTCAATGAAGTCATATACCTCTTTCTACATCGCTAAGTGTTCTTTGTGGTGTCCCTATCAGCGTTAGGCAAGCAAATAAGTTGTGGCCCACTCCTGCGCACATAAATTATCTTGAATGATTGTTTCGTAATATTATATTCCGTATATTGACTACACATATCACCTGTGTTCTATCTACATGCAACAACGTAATGAAAAGTTTGCGCACAGTACATAGAGTGCGGATTGTAATGGGTACATCCCGTATTTTTAATCCAAATTCGGTGTCTGTTTTCGCATCTGCATCTCAATATTAGCCGGCACTACAAATATGCACGAGGATATTTATCTTAGGCCTAAAATTTTCGTAATGAAGTACGTCACAATAATTTTTCAGAGAACGTGGTGAGCAATGCTGGAAAATCAACGCTCCTAAGACGTACGCCATGCGAGGTGTTTTTCCGGGTGCCATACTCAAAGTGGCCGATTACTGCAAGAGACTTTACAAAAGCAACCATGTCTATGTTTCAGCGGTAAGACGAGGCATAACCTGTGTTTCCGTTTTGGCTAATTACTTCTGGCAAATTATCCAAGAAGCTGGAACGATAAAGAAAGGTCAAACCGGCAATCTGCCATTCGTAGCCCCAAGCTACAAGAAAATACTTCTGAAAACTTTTAAAGGAAACTTTCCAGGACGACTTATTACACGTCCTGTGACTTTGTCAACTAGAAAGGGCTACTGACCAATAGACTAGCATGTGTTGCCTCGTAGTTATGCGCTACAAGTAGTTGTCTAGCAAATTTTATTTGCAGCTAGGTACTTCGGGATTGTTACTTAAAGCTAGTCATGTTGGCATGCGCTTCTTTCTTTTCCCCATTGTTTCAAAGCCTGTGAAGTTTGTGTTAGTGCACTCAAGCTAAGATGTATTAATAATGCAATGGCAGTGTATTGCATTTTTTATCACTGCACTCCAAATAGATGCCGATAATTTTTTTTTATTTTCACCAGACGACTGTCGATTGCTCTGTGATTTTTATTGGTTGAAGTTAACGCACTTGGCTACCAACAAAGGAAGCACATGAGTAAACCGCATACCTCCAGCAGTCAAATCATTTGCTTTACCGTGTGATCAGCAGTGGGGTCCACAAACAATGTTCACCTTTACATTTATGGAATCCGAATTTTTAGTGACTGTCAAGCGAAATCCACACCGGTAGATAAAGAACTACAGCACTTCTCTGTTCACACGGGTCAAAAGTTTATGCACGAGGCGTAGGCGAGTTTGCCACAGCAATGTGCTAGTAATATAAATATTCATGTACTTTTTCGTGAACAAGCATTTTATAGAATAATGATGCCAGTAAATATGAAGCACTTGCGTTAACAGAGTCTGCAATGCGTTAAAGACTATATTCGGAGGCACACGTAGTGGTTTCAGAGACATACTTGTGAGTTTCTCCCTTATTAATGTGAAATCGTTAGCTGCATCATCAAACTCAAAAACTTGCCCCTGGTTTCGGAAATACGAAAAATCATTATGCGATTATATCCCTTTAAGACGTTTAGGATCACCACAACCTTTAGGTACTTATGACGATCCTGTCATGTAGCATCACGTACCATCACGTAATGACGTCATCAGATGTTGTCTTACTCAAAGGAGATCGGATCAAGTAGGCACAGAAAACCAAATGTGGTGTTCTGATCTTGAAGTAAGTGTAAACGTATGTTAGGTGCAGAAACCCTTTGAGGGGTGGTGGGGTAGAATAGATGTGTCGACAAAAAAAAACATATGACTTTCGTCGTGGAGTCGTCTTAGCTGAGTGCATACGGAAACTTGTGAGGTTTTTGATTGAAATAAGTGAAAACACCGAGGTTGGAAATAGTAATACCTGACATGCTTTTGACACCATTTTCCTTTCGCAGAGCTACACCCTCAAAAATCAACTGCAAAATTAGGTGTTGTGCTCGGCTAAAAAGCGGTAGGCACGCCTGTGGTTTGCACCCAATGCTTGATCACATGCCGTGTGATTTCAAAAAGGTAATTACATTGAAAATGCATTTTAATGTATATTGCATTAAAAAATGAGCACACTCTAAATTTTCAATTGCATACGGCAAAATATTTGGGTATCAAATTTGATTTGTTATTACATTTTTACTTACCTGTTTTAAGTTTATGTTGCATATAAGAGTTTATTTACCTACGTCGTACCTCAATGCAGTTCAGTGGCACAGATTGGGTCTTTTGCAGCATTACGCACAAAAAAAAAATTTCCAAACCACCTAGAGAACAAAAACCAGGTATCTTCAGTATTCGATTAGCCGTTGTTTTCGTGAAGTTGTTTTATATGTGTGAGAGATTCTGCATGCCGCGCAAAAAACCACTCTGGTTTCTATCACACCACCAATTTTTGCAACCTCTCAATATATCCGTAACCTTGAACTTCACATTCTCTTCGTTTAGAAATGCTTCCAGGGTGTGTGCACAAGAGAAAAAGATCTGATTACTTACTCCTCCAAAAAGGAATGAGAAATGCATCCATGGCTCACTTCTGTAGAAGACAGTTACAGAATCATGGTAATAAATAAGTTAAAAAATTAAACGTGTCGGTGTACTTTGAATGTCAATTCAAAATGAAGAAGACTGCGATAGTACTGAAAGTAAAAGTTGCTTTTATTTTTTTTTGGGGGGGGGGGGTGGATGATAAGGATGAAGCACGGATTTGTTTATTGATAGATGAGGTACTAAATAAGTGTTTTGTTAGTTTTTGAGTCGCGCATTATGCATGCATAGTAACCAGAAGTACTCGGTAGCGTTCTGCGATTCTTTTAAACTACTGAAATTCAGCATTGCGTTGACTTTGACGGCTGTAAATAACAGGGTTTTTCGATACCTTTGTGGGTTTTGTTGAACGTGGCTACTACTAGTATGCTGCCGAGCAAACTGCACTAAATGTATAACAAACAATATGCAGGTGCTTCATTCGGACCACTACATTACTACGTATTGATACTGCCCATCGGCTCACAATATTTATTTATTTTTTTCACGCGTCTTTGTTGGTCCTCACTTTTTTATCATGTTTGTTCCCCATCCTCTCTTTCCTTACTGCAGGGTAGCAAACCAGATGCTCCAATTTCTGGTTAACCTACCTGCCTTTCCCTCAATTTGTTCTCTCTCTCTCCGATTGACCTATTGAATTGCAGGTTCACGTTTCCTGTCTTCACTTTCGCATAATACTTGTATCCCTCATGTCTAATTTTGTACGTCAACGTCTTACTTGTAATTCTGGCATGTGCTTCCTTCCAGTAAAAACTTTCGTTATAACACAAGTGTGGGATACCTTTAATGCCTCATGCCAAGTACCTAATCGTTGAATCTGTCACTCATGCGCTTAGGGCAAGACCTAAGCGAAGATTGAGTTGGTCTCTTACATCAAGGCTTATAACTCATAGTTTAAACTCTATAGTCACAATATAGCTGAAGTTTACGCTGCACCAACATTCTACTTTTATTTCGAGACCAGCGAGTGCATTCTAAAATCAAGCAGCCTGCCACAAAACATTTGCTTCCATATTGCACAGCTCACTTGAAGCTGGTAAAATGGGGTATTGCGAACTTAAGCCTGTTCAATTTTTTGCGCAGCTCTTTTTTCAAGCTCATTAGTGGCACCTTAAACCAGCAGCTGCTTCGCCTCAGGCATTGAGTATCCCACGCATGTACTTTTTGCCGTTGCTGAACACCCTCTTAGTAGCATATTTCCGGTTGTAGCTTAGCTTGGGGAAGTCTTTTAGACAAGATTGGTTGTAAATGGTCATCAAAATTGTGGACATCACGCACAGTGCACGCCGTAGGTATAAGAGGCACAAGACGCATTCTGTATATCGATACATTTTAGTCGCTAAAATAATTAGCGCTGCCCGCTTCATGTCGTACAAGGCTGGACCCCGGCTAAGTATGCCTCAGCTCCTCTTGTAACAATCATTACCGAATCCTTGACCAGTGATTGAGTGCACGCTGGTTTGTAATCATTTTGTTTTTATGATACGTGGCCAGCATCCAGCATACAGCTAAGCTCTAAAAATCAAAACCTCTTTTGATTAGAAAAAAGCGCGAAAAAGGCAGAGCAGACAAGAAAGTCGACCTAGTTCACTCTGTGTGTTCCCTTTCTGCATGTACTGGGCCCTTTTCGCGCCGTTTTCTAAGAATGTAAAACCAACAAGCCCAGCTTTCGGTACCTTCATGCATTAAGTGACATCGTCTCCGCGTCGGGTGAAGAACTGATTTTGTAGGAGCGCCTCATTAACTACCATGTGGCTAACTGCAAGTATGCAGCATAGAATACAGTTGATTTCTTGAGTTCACCTCAAGCAAAATATAATTAAGTGTCCCTTTTCATCATAAGAGTACGTCGCAGAGTACCCAGTACCCACCTGTAAGCGAATAGTTGCGCCTACGTAGTTACATACTTCGTTTATACCATGCTAATCATGATATTGATCATGAAACAACAGTTCAGCCATTGTAGTGCACACTGAACGAAAATGACCTGAAATAACCTCAAAAAAACTGGGTAAACCATTTGTCCTCTAGCGCACTACCTTTCCTGGTTTTTTTTTATCACCTACTATTGAGGTAAAAATTTACTCTCGTGCTAACTGAGTTTTTGAACGTAGGGAGAGTAGTAATTATTTACCCCCAGTGAGGTTTTGAGTGAGTATAGAAAGAGTAAATTTTTACTGCCTTCACAAGGTTTTTGAGGTGATTTCTGGGAGTTATTTCCGGTGGTAAAAAATAAAAATTGGCGGGTGCATTCGCCCAGAGTCGACAAATTTATTAAATAGCAGAATTTATTGCATTTATAAAACGGCAGAATGGGTGACACATAGATTCACATACAGACAAACACGCACACACTACAAGTGCAGAATAATACACCACTCGAACAGACTGCACGCGTTGCTCAACTACACTTTGACAATCCGGTATATATAGGCACGACTTTTTGACCGGTCCTGTAGGACCGGTAAGAGAGCTCTTTTTTTGCATTGATTAACAACAACGGTTGAAGGTGCAAGCGTTTACTTAAGGTGGGCTGCAGGGCACTAAATGTCACACCGACCTTTTATTATAAGTCTACCCAATCTCACCTTTTTGAGTATCCAATAATTACTTGGCACACCGGGCTCATGGCCCCACGCGTGTTAGCACTGCCGATCCACAAGTCCATAAAATGTACATAAGTACGCACAAACCATGGTGGCTCAATGATTTTCATTGAAAGACGGTGCACAAACACAGTAGCAGCACGTATTCATCACTCGCTCAATTAACGAATGGTGTATAAGGTGGGGACTAAAAATAAATCGTTCGAAAACAAATTCCGTTACGTTTACCAACAAAACGTTACCCCTTCATTTCACATATTTCATAGGAAATGCTGCAATCACGAGAGCTGATCGGGTAAAATATCTGGGAGTTACACTTACCAGTAACCTCAGTTGGGAAACGCACGTTGAAAATGTGTGTTCGGGTGCACTGAAGAAATTATCCTTTTTGAAAAGAAAACTGCGTAACACTCCTCCCACGTTAAAACTAAAAGCGTATAACGCCCTCGTGCGACCAAAATTGGAGTATGCCGACATTATTTGGAGCCCTTGGCAACAATATTTGATTAAGAAAATAGAAAGGGTCCAAAATTTAGCTCTGCGCTTTATATATTCCGCTTACTTCCGACAACATAGTTTAACTAATCTACGTAATAGGGCAAGCCTACAAATACTAGAACAGCGCAGGATAATATCCAGATTAAAATTCGTCTACCAACTTGATCACGGGGACTTTAAATTATCACGGGAATGATACCTTCAGCAGCCTTCTAAACTTTCAGCTAGGATAAATCACAACAAAACGTTTAGGCAGCCACCTAGCCACATTAATGCCCACAAGTTCGCTCTCTTTCCTCGCGCAATTTTTCATTGGAACGCATTACCTGCGGAAGTAGTGAATGCTGCCTCGACGGCTTCATTCACTCAACAGATAGAAAAGATTAATTTCACCATATAAGTGATGTATGCTGAAATAGTGTCATTTGAGTGCAAATCATCCGGCTACAAATGTTGAAAATATTCTTAGTTGAGCGCAGTTCTGTTGAACAGCGAGAAAATATATTTGACTTTTCTGTACTTGATAGTTATGTATTCTTTCATTTATGCCCTGTACTCCAGTGTATTACAAGTTATTGTTTGAATGTATTGCTTGTATCTCACTCCTGCATGGGCCCGGGTAGGGCCTGCAGTATCTGTAAATAAATAAAAAATAAATAAAAAAAACAACGGGCGTAGAGGAGCGGTGCACGCCTGCACACAAGCTTCTTACCGACGGCGTACTAGGCCTTTTCGAGGAGCACGGCTATCCGATGAAACACAGCTGGCGATCACAGAACACATATCCTGTGCGAATTTTGTCATAATTTCAGACACAAATGAACACGTGACCGCTATCTTACGGGGACGGGGCGGTGTATGCATACTTCCAACGAAAGACCACCATCCGGGTTTTCTTCGTGCTCACCGGCAGCCGCTTGTTGGTTCTGTCTGCCTCGTATCGGCTTCGCGCTACATGTTTGAGAACAGTTGGTGCATGAGGTGGGCAATTCGGGCAGCACTTTACTCATGCAGACATCGCCTACTGTGGAACAAAATATATGCGATGCTTCTTTCACCTGCCCCGGCGACAAACTCCCACTGGTCACTGGCGGCCGCGGCTCGGTGCCGACGACAGGGTGAAGCATTTCTCTTATTGCTTCTCCCGTAGGCAAGCACGGACGATGACACCAGATTGATTTTGTTACCACTGGCAGATATTCGCGATTCGGCTCGGAAGCGAGATATCCGAGACGTGCAGGTTCGGAGGCGCTCGGAAGCGCACTGTCGTTTGACGATGTAGGAAACACGTGAGATCCATCAGCCCAACCAGACACACAGACATCGAGCTTTTTGCACCGTCTGTCTCCAAGGCACCACCGCCGAGCAAAAGCCAACAATTTGCGAAAATATGCAGGACAACTTTCCACAGCAGGTTTTTTTTTCTTTTTTTTTTCTTCTTTTGAGATCCCCCCCCCCCCCCCCCGTCTTTTTTTCTTTTTCGTTCACAGAATGTTGTTCTCGCTTGTTGTGCTTATGCTGCCCCCAGTTCCAGTGAAAGTGCGTTAACTCGAGGTCAGTCCTGAGGCACGGCGATGCCAAAAAAAAAAAAAGATCTGTGGTCCTCGCGTATCTTTAGGATTCACTGAGAGCGTCACAATGGGAGGTATGGGACAAAAGTCACCGAAGCAGCTGCACCTTGCAGTCACGTGGTAATAAACTCTGAAACGCGGGTTAAAAATCACGTGATAGAAAACTCCCTACGTCGTAAAACAGGATTTTGACATCCTTTTACTACTTGCCTGAGAGGTGGTATAAAACTATGTAATGTACCATCTTTTACTCCTACACGAGGTAGTAATTTAAACGCAAGAGAGTTTTCAGAGGTCATGAGCAGCAAAAACCTCAAACTCGTATAGTTTTTGCTTACAGTGTGGGTTTCGAGCTTTCCACTGTGAACTGTGCGAAACTCTCATGGTGCCACACGCGGTGCTATTTAATGGTTTTGCCATGCTTCTTCGCCAAATATCATCTGTGTAGGTCATTTTCAGAGTTTATTGCATGCATTGGCATGGCTGTTCAACGGCTGCCATAAGTGCCTAATTCAAAATGCAACTGTTACAGAGGAAATGATTCGCAACAGTAAGACGAAAAAAAAAAAGGCAAGGTCGAAAGATATAGGAAAAAATTTTGCTAACACATACATTAGGAAAGGAGCCGTACGAAAATGTTTGGCATTTCAACTTTATACGGTTTTTTGTCTAGTGTACTCTTTGAATTATTATTTAGCAGATCAAAATAGGTCTGCAACTAAAAAGTGCTGTTTTGCGTATGAAGAAGAAAAACTTGCAAACTGTATTGCAAATAGCGCGCTTCACAACCATATCGCATTTTGTGACATATTTAGCTGCTTCGCTCTCAAGGAGGTCCATGGCGAATATTTCGAGGGTGAGAATGGTTTTAGTATGATGTGCCACTCTGGAACAGCACTACAGCTAACATATTAAGAGCATCATGCAGTAATAGCATATCGACGAAGTATGTGGCATGCGAGGTATGTTACAAGGTATGCATGTTATATGAGACAGAGTCATTGGCTTCTGATTATCCTTGCATCATTCAAATACCTTTAGAGATGCCGTATTCTTCTAGAAAAATAGAATATTATGTTCAGTTTTCAAAAATACGCACTCTTCAAAGACCGGATGTCTCCTACTTCCGCATGGTAATGATGGCGAGAGCTAGTCGGGAGTTTCTTCACCTATTACCTGAAGGAAATATCGACGTTCTTGAAAGGGTATACCCACGGAGTATATATAGCGAGAGCTTTACTGCATAGCGTAGCTTACAAAATGTCTTTCCCCGTGTTCATGTGCTTGCTAATGGGAACCGCAACAGGTAAGCAATGACTTGTTAAAGAACTACTGCTTGACTGATCTAACGTGCCATACAATTGCTTTGAGCTAGACATTTTAGCTGTCTTGGTTTTTTGAGAACTTTCTGGTTTAAATTGTTTATTTTTCTTGAAATTGGCCTAAATGTTCATTTTCTCAAAAGCAAGTTATTGCTCTTGAAAAAATTATGAAACATGTACAAAGTCGAGCTATCTTAATGAATTTACTATAAAACTATCGAAATAAAATGACTACTCCTAAATAATTAACAACACAAACAAAACAATAACGAGTACAATAATGTCAAAAATTTGCAGCATTGCGAAAACAAATGCTAACGGGGAAACTACTTTAACCATTCTTACATAAAAAAAGCCTTTTTGTCAAGCGTACCATCAACATTCATGCAAAACCATGAAAGAGCCACTTATTTGCGCAAACAAGATAGCTGGTCATCTATGTTCCTCGACCAGTGCAATACTCGGCTGATGGTACGTCTGAAAGCACGGACAGAACCAAAGGCGTGGTTCTGCTACAAGCACAGATAGCGCCTGAAAGCATGCATGGCTTAGAAAAGTTTTCCACGTGACAGTGCGTGAAATAGTTATGCTTGTTGCGCAGACAATATGAAAACAAGCATAATGTTACCCTCTTCACCGTCGGGATTGATTCTATTAGTGTTTATAACTGGGACGTAGCCAACAAGGGGGAGGGGGGGGGGGGGGGAGTTAGATGCCGGAGGGTTCTAAGTCTTTCGAAATTTTGCGTTTTTTCTTGCACACACGCCCATATATATATATATATATATATATATATATATATATATATACATGTATGAAATTAACACACATAAATTATGGCTGACCCCCCCCCCCCTGCAAAAAAAACATCTGGCTACGCCTCGGCTGAATAAAGTTCAGGCCGGCTTACCACCTCTGCAATAGAACTGCTTGCCTTAAATCTTCCGACTAATAGAATAAAATGAAAAACGCATAGAAACGAGTATAATGCTGCGAATGTTTTTTATACTTTTATTAGCCAATAAATATTACCTACTTTCCTGTGCGTCACCTTTGGCACGCTATGTGACAAATAGTCTATCTTTTGCATGACTCTTTGAAAGGGCTAGATTTTTTTGAAAAAAAAAATCTTCATGTCGAGATGAAGAGATTTCTGCTGCGTCAGTTTTCATGGCTATTTTTGTGGGGCAATGGATGTGGAATGTGGGAACGAATACCAAAAGGAAGAAACTCTAACTGCGGCAGTCATCTCGCGCTGCAAAGCCCTCAAAAGGGCGCAACTTTGTTTTCTTTATGGTACAATTATCAGAATGTCAGTGCATATTATGCTTAAAGTGGGTGACGATTGCATCCCCACCGATAGCCTAAAGTGATAGCCTAGGACCGATAGCCTAAAGTGGCCAGTGGACGGTCCAATATAATGTGCAACAAAAAAAAGTGTACAGGTCAGCTGTGAGGTAACAAACAAAAGCACTCATACAAATACAATTTACACTGTAATGCATTTTTTTCCTGCAGACATGCATACTTATTAGCTTGAAGCTAGCTTTCTATACATAGGCACTTATTAAAAGAATACAATAAAAATCGAATCAAACACACACATGATTACATGTCTTTACTCCAGATAAAAATGATTTACACGCCATGCTGAAATTACGTGCCGTTTTAATCTCTAGGTGGATCGTGTGCCATATTTTTGTTCCATTAAACTGTATTAGTCTTTCTCCGTAAATATTAGGACATATGGGTAGATTGAAATGACCATTCGAAGCAAATCGCGTGTTGCGTTTAGGAAACGAAAAAGATCAGCAGGCAAAGGTGAATTTCCATTATTATGTTACTTACTGAAACGGAAATTGATTTATTTGTTGGGTTTAACGTCCCAAAACCACCATATGATTATGAGAGACGCCGTAGTGGAGGGCTCCGGAAATTTCGACCACCTGGGGTTCTTTAACGTGCACCCAAATCTGCGTACACGGGCCTACGACATTTCCGCCTCCATCGGAAATGCAGCCGCCGCAGCCGGGATTTGAACCTGCGACCTGCGGGTCAGCAGCCGAGTACCTTAGCCGCTAGACCACCGTGGCGGGGCGTGAAACAGAAATTATGTAGTCGCGCAACATCGGAACCGAGAGAATGCGTTGTGATTGGAAAATAGTACATACTGATTCACCTTGGCTTACGGCTTTCGGTGTACGCTTTTGAAGTCGTTCAAGAGTTTTTAGATAACGTTGTACGTCACACCCCACGATTCCAGTCAGCAACCTATGTGACAATGACACAATGAAAAGTCGAGTGTGCGAAGTATAGCTCGTGTAAAATACTGGCGAGCTTTTATTAGAGAATGGCAGCCATACGCTACCTTTGTGCACACACTCTGTATTTGCTCATGCCAGTGTAAATGCTCATCAAAAGTGACGCCCAATTATTTAAAACAAGGAACTTGTTGAATAGGAGCGTTGTTTATTGTTAGGTTAAGAGATTCAGCGTCAATATGTTTCCTACGAGAGTGAAACACCTTCTAAGCGTGCCAGGCCCATCAAGCCCTTTAATTTTTAGGGAGCGAAGCTCCTTGGGTTGAGCATGTCCTTTGTCCGTCAGCGTGACATGCGTGGCACATACCCGCTCCTAGAGTGGGTATGTGCCACAGGGGATACGAGATGCGCAATGGCGGTACTTGGAGTGTTCACTAGATGGACGCACAGACGGATGCACGGATGGACGGCCAGACAAACTAGCAGATGGATGGACGGATGGATGCAGGCGTGGACGGACGGTGGGATGGGCGTCCGCATGGACGGATGTATAGACGGACGCACGGACGGACGCACGAACTGTCGCTGGACGGACGGAAGCAAGAATGATCGGACGGACAGGCTGCTGCTTCGCTCGACTCATCATCTTTCAATCCGTGAATGTGCGGTGATTTAAAAAACAATCACTTGGCGTCGCGTTTATAGACATTTTCAACGTGACTTTACTTGTGCTAATGTGTTTGTCATTTTGCCCTATATTTTTTTTACTTTCCTCTCCTCTCTCGTTTTTTTCTTGCCTTCTGCCTTTCTTTCCTTTAAATGTCCCCTTCCCGAAGAAGCACGCAGGCGTTTTGCCACTATAGGTGGCCGTTGTGAGCGTGTTCTCTCCCTATTGTCTCTCTGTTTTCGTGTTTTATACACTCTAAGCCGAAAAAGACTAAAGTGGGGTATGCCATTGGTCCTTTAGGGGTCTAAAAGCGCTGCCACAGATTTTCAACCAATTTTGGACTAACTGCGGGAGTAACTGCAAGGGCTCAACTGTTACCCCAAGCACTTACTCCACTTGGTTTAAATGTTGGCCCCAGTAGAATGCTCCAGCGGGACTAACAGTTGAACCGTCTGGACCAATGGCAAAAAAATGGCGACACTGCGTTTGTGCAGTATATTTATGTTTATTTCAATTTAATCAGCACTGAAGATCATAGTATGTTATTCATGCAACACACACACACACACACATACATACGCACTATTATTTCAAAGTAAAACACCGCAAACACTGACTTCCCGCGCTGTACTACAGAGAACAGACTCTCGGGTATATATAGCACAGTATTTTGACCTCCCATCTAGTGCGAGTGGGCAACTTTTACTCGGCTTAAGAAAACAATAAATATTGACACCGTAACGCGAAAATTTACATGGGCTTATTCGTAGCACCGATGCGCATCGATCTTTTAATATGGATCCATCTAATCTTCAACATGCCTCCAGCCCGAGAATACGAATTATCAGCTGGTACTCGATCATGTCGGCCGAACCAGCGTTCGCAGTGCTGGCGCACGAGTCCGCAAACACAAACATAGCAGCGGCGCTTGTGCGGGAAAGCCGGCGAAGCAGCCGCAGGCGCCCCGCCGATGCCATACCGTGTCGGCTTGCCGACGGCGTCGCTAGGCTTACGACGAGTACGGCTAAACGACCGCCGGCGATCGCAACATGCGGCTCGCGTGAAATTTTCGTCGTCGTTATTTTATAGTCACAAATGAACAATAGGTAAGTGCCCCATGTTCGCTGTGTCTTACGGAGTGATGTAGATATCTGTATACTTACAGCGACGAGACCGTTCGCTGGCACGGTTCTTTCATCGTGCTGGTAAGGCACAACCTGTGTACCGCTGGCCGCACGATTAGTCGTATCCGCGATCGCCTACACGTTGGATTTTCGATAATGATTGTCGCATGAATAAAAAGACATACGTTTGCCTGAGCTACTATTTTTGTGAACTTGTACGCGACGTTTCCTTCGCTTGTGCCGGCAATGCACTCACACCGGCAGCCCACTTGATACCGATGACGTACAAAGCCTACTTTTCCTATATATCGCTTTGAACTTGTGGTCACTGTGTGGGTAGACGACCGCTGATGAACAGCTTACCTTTATTAGCATTGTCAGTGTTCACCGTAGTTCGAACTTATTCAGCACATTAAAGCGAGTTCTCGGCATTGCCCGTGTTTGCGGAGACTTTCACTTGGCTTCGGCTCGCCCGTGCCGGCATGGTGGAAATGCGAGGGCACTTGCTGTGTGCACTGACAGCGTGTTGTACTACTTTCCTCTCATAACATCTTCTATTCGTTTCATAGTGCTTCACTTTCACAGTGGCGTATAGCCTATTTAACTTGTTTTCATGATCGCCGACCACGCCGAGCATTGCAGTGCAGCATCGACAGGAGGCGATCGCGGCGCAGTTGCCCTCCCCGTTGGTCCCTTCATTGCCGGGCGTTTGCGCAAGACACGCATTGTCACACATTTAGTTCCTGTTGGACGAACCGTTCGTCCATTGGTTTAACGACTGCAGTTAGTCCAACTTTGCCGAATTTCGGCTTAGAGTGGCCGAATTTCGGCTATTCAACTTCTGCGCATATATGCGCAGAAGTTGAATAGAAAATTGAAATTCTTTCCCGCTACCATTCACGTTAAAGTAGGCAAACAAGCCTGCAAAGAACTATTTATTGCTTATTTCGGCATTGATTTACCTTTTCAGCATCTTGTAATACGGAAAAATTCGGACACATGTTCTCGGATATATTGCGCTTTTTATGGCTTTTGTATTACTTTATACAAACCAGGCACTTTCACAGTATCAGAAAAGGTTATCACATACCTCTTGAAGAAATCACGGCTTACATGTTGGTCACAAGGTTATTACTGCTGATTCGTGAACGCCCCTACTAAATCTGTGATAACAAAAAAAACAATATCCCAAACTAGTCCAAGTACTTTGTTGAAATTCAACGCTAAAGCTGATCGTGAAACGCAAATGTAGAAAAGAAGCAATGAACGCGATAATAACGAATCGGAACGGTGTGCAATGCTGCTCAAAGTAAGAGTGGACAGGTAACTCTTTGCGCATCGATATATGCTAATTTTTAAAAATGCGGGTGCAAAAAAGAAGGGGCCATTGCTAGCAATCGGAGGTCACCATTAGCCGCGTTACGCAGTTTAAGCTAGAAATCAGCCTTGAATACACATTAGGTGCACAAGTACGAGCCGCCTGATGATCCCCGTCAAGATCCCCGTCAACCGTGAAAAAATAGAAAACACCTGAAGAGCCCGAGAATTTCGCTTAGAATTTGCATTACTGACTTAGCCAAACAACCTCATTTCTAAATGCAATGCACAAGAACTCGTTTTAGTGCACACGAGTGATGCAACAATTACTTCGCAGTTTTAACACTTCGCAGACATTCCTGCGAGAATCGTCGTAGCCCAAATGCCCACATTTTTCTGCCAAATACCAATTTCGGAAGAGAAGATTGCTTTTAATCGAACTTCAATGTACATGAAAGTAGCCTTCAGAGAAATCTCTTCTTCTGACGTAGTGCGCATGCTGGGCGATTTTCCTTTGCTATATATGACGTGATGCACAGCTCAAGCCGTCTTCTATCGACATTTCATCGCAGATAAACCTGGTCGAAAAGTTTCTCAAAAATTAACGTGTGCTTTTCTTATGGATGTACAATTTAATACAAGCAACCGTACAACGACCACCATTAACTGCATTTTATCGCTTCATGCTTTAAATCCAATTCTACTCTATTTTCTGAGCGCAGTTTAAGAAATCACATCGATATTCTGCCAGTGAATTTTGCTTCAGGCTAAAACGACAATGCACATTTACGCCGAAGCAATAAAAGGTGGCTACCTCTAGCATTATATAAAGAGTGCGACATTTCATGATAGTGCAAAGTGACTGTTATGCCCCAAAATAATAATAATAATAATAATAATAATAATAATAATAATAATAATAATAATAATAATAATAATAATAATAATAATAATAATAATAATAATAATATATATATATACCAATTTTAATAATAACTATACTGTTTCCAATAACTATTTTTGGTTCTAGCGATCCAGAACCACTACATCTCATGAGAAACTTGTTAGACGTTTGATCCGGAAAGTTTGGCTACCTGGAGTTCATTAACATGTAAATTACTGTAAGTGCATGGAGGTCTTTCGACAGAAGCCTTGTAGGTGATAATAAAGTCACCAATTACTTAGCACCTAACAGGTCTATCAGTCAACTCAACTACGTCACTGCGAGAACGATGAAGAATACCTAATCAGAGAGCCCACCAAGCCACCTCTCGGTATTTCCGAATGCCTATTATGTATGAAACACGTGATTACCATCATGTATTCAGACAAGCTGCGCACTGTTATAAAGCCATCACTTGAGAATGCATATCACACACCGTTGAGAAGAAAGGGAATAACCGCAGAGAGAGGTGGGAGGCAACGCTGTTCCGCCCTGCTCTTGAGGACCAGCTGAGGCTGGTCAGCAAGGAAGGTCAGCAAGGATGAAAGGATGGCGTGAGCCAGCGGTGCCTTGAAATAAAGGCCCGACCACGCGGTGTTGCTCTGTTTTAGCGCAACGAAGTCTTTTTCTGCAAATAAAGTCTTGTTCCTATTTTAGGCACCTTTGAACTTCAACGAGTACAATCAGTGGATTAGTAAAACTTAAAAAGGGGTCGTCCTTCTAGCAGTTGTTGCAGCACATACTAAAAACGCGGGAAGCTGTATTTAAATCAAACATGGTAAAGCTTTTCAAAGCTGCCCGTTTATCATCTTCTACAATAATAATAATATTAATGTTATTTGAAATTATAAATGTTCACTAGCTTTGCTGCGAAAAAAAAATTTTTATCACTTTTGAGTGCCTAAATTTGTGCGCAATGAAAATACAAATGAATTTACATCGGCAAGGACGTCCAATTTAAAGCAGTATTTTTGAAGTCTCGTGCTCGTGCTGCTGAGCACGAGACTTCACGAGACCGTCATTCCAGTGCTTGCAAGCCTTCAAAAGTCTGCTGGTTGAGAACACAAGCTGCCCCATCATGGCTTGACCATCGACAAGATTTTGGGTACATGGACCACGCATATAAGTTGCGTAATGCAAAGATTGCACTAATCTGATTAGCCACGGGAGTGAATCACTGCCTGTGATGTTAAGCCAAGCACTTTCGTGAATTCGACGTCAGCAGATGATCTTTTCTTTCCTTTGTTCTTTCGAATTTTTAATCTGCTTACACCCTTCGCTATTGCAACGTAACCTACCGAGCTCAGCCATGGTTAAAGCACCTGCCTTTCTTTCAACCTTATGTTATCACGTGAAAATATATCTATTTTTGTTAAGTGATAATAAAACACCTCTCTTATTCGAAATACTTGTTCATAAAACCTGGATTTTAGCGTTCTCAGAGTTTACAATGGTGATTAGTGTGGAAGAAAACGGGAAAACATCGTCCATCACTTCTGTGATGGACGATGGCCCCACCAGGTTCATTATTTATTCAAGAAAAAATTCATGAAAAAATATTTGTGCTTTATTTATATGAAGCTCAATCTATATTGAAGTCATAATTTTCTGCTTATCATCATCTACATAAAAGATCGTGTGGCAAAAGAATAGCAGAACAAAAAAATACGAAACACAACATTCTGTTTTATACCGTGTGTTTCCTAGTTACTAGGGTTGCGTTGCCAGAATTAGCTTCAGCATGCATGCCAGCAGAGATTCAGCATACATGACAAACACTTGCCAAGTGTTCCAAGCACAAAACGAATAAAGTATTTTGACCATATAGCATAGGTAGTACCTAGCGAATAATCCTCGCTCCATTTTATTGAACATTAGGCATGACAAAAAACTGAACCTTGTTGTAATTATATACCAGGCACGAGAACTGTCTACCCGATGATCATCGAAGAGCGCACAGACGATGGATCTCTCCTTCTGCTCATTCACCATGGCCTGACTCTTTCACTTACCAAGGCTAAAGTTGCGACGGAACTACTTCATCTGAAAAGCAGTATCAACGGCACTGAAACAGAGCAAATCGTAAGCGGGCGTCACTTCTCGGATTTACTCGTTTGCATAAGGATTCTATCTTTATTAAGGTTTGTTGGTATCACTTTCCTAACCCTAAATTAGGGACTGCATATTGCCGTCATGCACCAGTGAATAGGTAAGAACTCGTCATGTTGGCTATACGTCAATGCATCTGGGTTATTATTGTGTGCACCTGATTTCAGCCAGTATATTCGTACTATAAATGCATATTGTATGAATCTTTGTCAATGTACAAGCCTGAGATACATGCCGCTAACCAGTCCTGAATTCGGAAGAACTGATTTTGTACAGGATAATAGCATAGCAAAGCATACAGCACCTTAAGTTGAATCTACCAACAGCGACTTTATTGACAAATCCACGTATCATCATCATCATCATCAGCCTGACTACGTCCACTGCAGGACAAAGGCCTCTCCCATGTTCCGCCAGTTAACCCGGTCCTGTGCTTGCTGCTGCCAATTTATACCCGCAAACTTCTTAATCTCATCTGCCCACCTAACCTTCTGTCTCCCCCTAACCCGCTTCCCTTCTCTGGGAATCCAGTTAGTTACCCTTAATGACCAGCGGTTATCCTGTCTACGCGCTACATGCCCGGCCCATGTTCATTTCCTCTTCTTTATTTCAACTATGATATCCTTAACCCCCGTTTGTCCCCTAATCCACTCTGCTCTCTTCTTGTCTCTTAAGGTTACATCTACCATTTTTCTTTCCATTGCTCGGTGCGTCGTCCTCAATTTAAGCTGAACCCTCTTTGTAAGCCTCCAGGTTTCTGCTCCGTAGCTAAGTACCGGCAAGATACAGCTGTTATATACCTTCCTCTTGAGGGATAGTGGCAATCTACCTGTCATAATTTGAGAGTGCTTGCCGAATGTACTCCACCCCATTCTTATTCTTCTAGTTACTTCAATCTCGTGGTTAGGTTCTGCGGTTATTACCTGCCCTAAGTAGACATAGTCTTTTACAACTTCAAGTGCACTATTACCTATCTCGAAGCGCTGCTCCTTTCCGAGGTTGTTGTACATTACTTTCGTTTTCTGCAGATTAATTTTAAGACCCACCTTTCTGCTCTTCTTGTCTAACTCCGTAATCATGAGTTGCAATTCGTCCCCTGAGTTACTCAGCAATGCAATGTCATCGGCGAAGCGCAAGTTACTAAGGTATTCTCCATTAACTCTTATCCGTAACTTTTCCCATTCTAGGCTTCTGAAAACCTCCTGTAAGCACGCGGTAAATAGCATTGGGGAGATTGTGTTCCCCTGCCTTACGCCCTTCTTGATTGGTATTCTGTTGCTTTCTTTATGAAGCACTATGGTAGCAGTTGATCCCCTGTAGATTTCTTCCAGAATGTTTACATATACTTCATCTACGCCCTGATTCCGCAGTGTCCACGTATACTGAACCTCAGAACTTCCGCAAACGTAGAAGCTAAAGCTCCAGGTTTATGATCAGCCTAACTGTCAGTCCCTCCTTGAAAAGAGCAGCCGCTATTTTCTGTCATTTGTACAAAAGTTTCTGTTATAAAAAACGAGTCCGTTCTTTTTATGAGTTTCTTTTACAGCGAAAGCTGTTATGAGATCACAAGTTGGGTCACGCGCAGTTTCATGCCGGTGTCGCCGTTGTCCGTAACCACATCGCATCAAATGAGAAAAACAAAACTAGCACTAATGACACAATAGGGCTTGAAATCCGGTTCGTTGGTTTCCAGCCTAGTATTCTACGCCCAAGCCTCAGCGATGCGTGGGACTCGTTGGCAAACTTGCCTTAGGCAGTTTTGATGTCGGGAAAGAAATCGCGGTAATACGACAAAGAGAGCGTTTTAAAACAGCGATAAAACAAATGGTCGTCGCAAAATGCGAAATGCGTAACGAGTGGGTCGTCCAATGCTCCAACTTACTACAAAAGCTTGTTCTTGTTCAGCTATTAGCTGTGGCGCATACCCACTTCAGGCAAAGATCGTCATCGTTGCCCGCCGCTGCATGCATGAACAATTTGCACAAAATTGCTTTGCAAGTGTTTAGCGAATACCACGCTTCTAAGAGAAATGACGCAAAATAGCACAGCGAATGCTGGCCTACTACTACCCTGAAATTTTATTAATAATGCCCTACTGGATAATAAGCAAGTGTGCTTGCAGTAGTTACGCAATGGGTGTTATAAAAGACTCTAAAAGGCCGCTCTTCTGGCTTTCCCTGTGACTGTGCTGCATCTTCCGCACAGGCCTGGCGCTCTTATTGACTTGATGTAAAGAGATGTTCATGCACAAAGGAGATACCGCCTACTACCTAATCTTCAGTGGTATCTAACATAACAGCGCGTAGTGTTCAAGTCTCTATGCACAGGAAGTTCACTGCACATACAAAGTACAAATAAAGCAACACAATATACATTATATAACAGGACATGCGATTTCAAAACATCGTATTTAGCAATCTACTGTATGGGCCTATGCGTTGATCTTAACAAGCAGAAGAGTAACCAATGCATGCAGTCAACAGTCAAACACTTCTCAACATAATACTCTACCATGGCAGAAATATGGTTGCCACGTTAAAAAAACAGTAATATTAGCTAAGATTTCCCCTGCCTACAAAAAAGCTTTCAATGCTTTTACTACGCTTTTTTTGTAAACATCTCGTTGGCCATGGGCCCGAAAAATTTGTCAAAGTGAATTGTCTGCAATCTGAAGCAATTAGGCATGATATAAGTCGGCGATGTGCTGTTTCGTGTTGCGGGTACTCTTGAAGAAGGTGACATATGTCGTCGTCTACAAAACTGCAATAATATTCGCAGCTCAGCGCCCCCAATTTGATGCAAAAAATTTTTAGAGTAGGCAGTTCCTAATCCTAATCGGTAAATAAGGGTTTCTGTACTTCTGTCTAAAAATAACCGAAATTGAAGTTCAATTATGGATCTATATGATATGAATCAGAGCTTTTGGAGTTTTGGTCAAACATTGTGTTTTAACACATACTGAAAGATGTCGTTTTTAAAATGCGGCGCAACATCATTTTTTGATATTAGCATCCTTGTGATGCGCTTGTCATGCTGCTTCATCAGCTGCTGTGTTGCTTGGTATGTTCTCCCGGCATACATTTAAACATTACTTTATGGGGCTTTTGGCCTGCGTTTGTGAGCTGTTTAGGTGTCTCGGTAATCAGGATATAATTTATTGTTTTCGATTTTGTTCTACGAAGTAGTGTTAATGCTGCTTGTTAATCACCGAATATCAATCAATTTTCAGCATCTCTTACAGAATTGATAAATTTTAGAGCGCTTAGATTAGCGAGTGCTCCACCTGTTGTAGACGATGTCACGCAAGATAACCTAAATGCATATTGTGCAATGAGGGGTGGTACAACAAACGCCGAACTAGAAGATACCGGTATACTGCAGGCGTCTGTATATGCATACCTGCATGTAGCCCTGATATTACGTATATATCTAGTAAACCGCTAATTTCTGGGCTGCTCCTAAAAATGTATCCTTTCTTATGCAATGTCATCCACCGATGCTTCTATTTTCATAGCGTAAGGTACCGTGGAAGGTAATCATTGTGTGAGTGGAAAAACTCAATTTATGGCACTAAGCTGGAAGTTTCCCTCATTTCTTTATGAACACAGCTTCCGTTCATCTGTAATATCTCTAGAGCCAATGGGTGTTTTTTATGTTGCGTCCAAAGGCGAAAAAAAAAAAGCCGACTCTTTTCTATACTTCTCACTACTGCAAACGGAGACTGGCGAGTCTCTGCTAATACAAGAAAACTGGAAGTCAATAGCGGAACACGGAAGCATACTCGTAAACTCCTGTCTAGAAGTCTTTCAAGTTTTTGTTCCGACGTGGCTGAAATGCCACATGAGATTGCCGCAGAGTAAACAATTCTTTGTTATATTAGAGCACCATGTACGGTGGGTAGAGGTGGCCTCACCGCGGTGGTCTAATGGCTAAGGTACTCGGCTGCTCATCCGCAGGTTTCGCGGTTGATTCCCAGCTGCGGTGGCTACATTTCCGATGGAGGCGGAAATGTTGTTGGCCCGTGTGCTCAGATTTGGGTGCACGTTAAAGAACCTCAGAGGGTCGAAATTTTCGGAGCCTTCCACTACGGCGTCTCTCATATTCATATGATGGTTTTGGGACGTTGAACGCCACATATCAATCAAGTGAGTAGAGACAATACTGATCCACCCCTTGATGTGCCAGCAATTCTGAAAAGTATATTCACTACTGAATCAGGATCACTTTCGAGTTTTTTTATGTGCACTGTTCAAGATAGCTGCTCATCAAGAAGTATTCCCACAAATTAATGCTGTGTAACAATATCGCAAGGCTGTCTTTCTAGACGAAGATTAAAATTCTGTAACAGCTTACGGGTGAAGGGCAACACAGCTGTCTTCGCATGTGACAGAGTCATCTCTCTCTCTCTCGTAAAAAGTTGTTGATGGTATTTATATCCTCTTGTAAAGTCTTCTGAAATATTTGATACTTATTTGCAGATGTTCAAATGCACACATCATCTAACACACCGAGAAGTGTAAATTAGGTGGCATTCTTCTAGGTAAATCTGCCATGACGCTGTTGAATAGAAAAGGCCTAAGCTCTCTTCCTTGTGGCGCTCCCTGCTTGACATTGTGTACTGCTTTCTTTCCTACATCAGTGTGAACAAATACTTTGCGACCTGTTTAGAATGCTGGTTTGGCAAATAGTAGGCTCGTAAGCGTAGCATTGCGTCACACGCAATACATGATTGTTTTCTATGACCAATCATACAATATAAGCACGTTATTTTCAACCATCATTCAAGCACTGCCCCGTCTGGCCAATATAACCGTTCCATAAAGTCATGTGCATGCCACAAAAGAACAGGGACTGTTTCAGGGAGGACCTGAGTATCAGGTGGCCCGTAAGCGTCGGGTTGGGGCCTGTGCATTTGCTCTGGTTAGGTGGTTTAAACCAAAGTGGATGTGTTAGTAGCCTGACAGTAAGCGCAGCGATGGTGTGTGATTGGATAGGTGATATTATAGGCGTTATTTTGTAAAGCCTCGCTCAATAAAATCTTGTCACACAGTCACGTTCCCTTCGCACGCTTCACATAAGAACGATTTCCAGGATACGTAGTCAGCCGAATTTTCGTCCTTGTTTCAAAGTGTCGCTGTTTTGTTCGCATTTTAAAAGGAACCAACTGGTCCAAATTTTGGCGATTCTCAATTCACCTTCCAACTTCCTTTTAGTTCTTTACCACACAAGGCGATGCTATGTTGTTCTAGCGTACCGAAATAGTAGTGTGTTACGATGCTCGCTCTCTGATTGTGCGTGCGTGGGTCCCTATCTACCTTCGCCAAAAATGTGACAAGTTTCTGTCTTTATCTTCACTTTCTGGGTCTATTTCTGTTTGTTTTCTTTGTGTATCACTTTAATCGTTCCCTCACTCGTACTCCCAACCAATCGATGCATATGTTTTGTGTGCAAGGTAAGCAGGATCTGAACCATAACAGCTGTGATAAATATCAGCCATCCTTGGAATTATTCACGCATCTTATGTTAAATATGTAATCCCGCATGTTTTTTGCATGTGACAGTGCCTAACTCGTCGATGACACTTGTACTGGGCTACGGCGTACCCAGATAGTTTCGCAAAGCACAAAACAAGCCAAGCTAAACGTAAACAAACAAGAAGTGAACCTACAGGTATATAAAACTGGTGTTGAGAGAACCTTCTTTGTTGTTACTTCAGATAAATGGGACTGATATCGAAAGAAGTTTGTTCGAAGACGAACAACGAATGGCCACAGTATATTTAACAAATTCTTCGGACGGCATACGAGTGGTAAGAGCGCGAAGTAATATTTTGTTTTCCTGCCTTATTTTTTTGCTATGAGGCTGTCACGAACACACACACACACACACACAAAAAAAAAAGCTGGTGCCTCTTATTACAATACTCGGCCACGGCATCCACTAATATATGTGACACACGGCACTACTCCAACTGTCTGGATGCAAATAATTTTAGGCCTGTTCGGAAAAAGTGCGCCCACAGAAGCTAGCTGTGTATATCTACATTGCTGAAGAAGCCTTGAAATCACTTGCGTTCATCTGCCAGACGAATGTAAAGACATAGTATTGCTTTGTGCAAAAAGGGATCTATCAAAACACTACCACTCAGAGTTTGTGCTTCCAACACTTACCTTGAATAATAATAACTGCAAACGTTTTAGGTTTGAAAGCGTAATTGTTTTATGACATGCTTCGTAGTGGAGGCACTTCAAGTTTCAAAACACTTGTTGAACTATGCCTGCCGGCAACAAAAAGATAATCAATCAGTTTTACCAGGCATAATGCGAATATCAATTTTAATTTTCAAGTGGGGACATGATTTAAGCCTCTGTAATGAACAGACGCTTTCATTTATATTGTTGCGAACGAATTTCGATGAAGGGCTTAGCCTGTCTTTGATTTCGTATCATGGCCTTCACAAGTTTCTCGTCAGCTAACCGCCACAATCTATCACAGATGTCACTTTTACAACTACAGAGTCCAAGTAGGAGATTCATGTGCTTACACTTATCACTTTTCGAATTCCTTGCACACGTTGCACAGCGTGGTTGCTCATGTATAGAAACGGAGCATGCAGTAGCTGTAGAAGCCCGTGCTTTGCGGGAGCGTCGAACGTAGAATCTTACTTTTACACACTCAATCACAGTCGTTTATAACATACATCCGGACTCTTGAGCTGTCATTTTGGGCAGTAATATGCAAAGACTGACGCCGTAATGACGCCCACCATAGACCTATGCTGTGTCATGCCTTTGCGTTATATTTCAAGCTTGAACGAAATCTTGTAACTCGCGTGCCGTATCAGCAGCAGGCCACATCGTCCATTGCAATGGACTCCATCGCTCTAGACAAATGTGGTTCCGCCTGTACTACAATAGAAAACGTGCGGCGAGTGTGGCACGCGACCACGTGTCATTGAATTTGAGCCTGCGGCTTAGCGGTGAATGCCACAGCTACGCGATAAATGTTTTTCTGCCTTGAAGTTTTATCGTGCCGTGAAAGTGGCACCGAGATACAGGAGTTGTCAACCCGGAACGCTCAACGTGCGTCTTTGATATACTATGCTATGGTGTAGGTCACGTTTTGTTCGTGTCCTTGATAAAAAAGTACAAACAATCAATGTGTATTTCTTGAAGGGCCACTCACCACCCCATGTTTAAAGACGAGGGAGTAATTTTCTCCTCTTCTTCATACACACGGTGCCCCCTCTTCTCCACTCATTTCTTGAATGCCCGTGAACAATATCAGCACTAAGCGCTACAGAGCCTATCAGGATGTCGCGCTTCTCGACTGCCCGCTGTCATCGCCGCTCGTGCAGTTGTAAACACACACACAAAAAAGAAGTTTGATCGATTGACTGTGCACAATATTCATGCGCAAAAAAGAAGAGCGGATGGGCGGCTGCATGGCAAAGCAGTGCAGGAGACAAATCACATGCGATATTTTGCGTGTATCAACGAATCGAGAGCATATACGCTGTAGACGTCACAGGAACTACTGTCTGTGCCACAGAAGTTCGCAAGAAAGACGAGATATATCAGCATAGTATATTGCGAACTCTTTTTTGTATTTTTAGAGCCTGATTAGTGGCCCTTTAAGCAGCGTCCGAGTTCAAGAGAGCACACTTTCCATCGGCGACAAAACTACGTGCTATATTGGGATACGAGTTTCTGCTTCTTTAACGAAGAAAAATTCATTTCTCCTTTTCTGCTAACGTGCGATTGGTTGAACTGGAAGCCTAAAGAAGAGCGTTAAAATCGTGCTACTCTTAAACAAACATTTTTATTTAGTTTAAATAACAGTCACTTCTATTAACCTGCCGTGGCGAGTGTTGCGAGGCTGCTCAGTGGCATCAGTTTTCTGAATGCTGTTTTTTAATTCACAACGTCAGCGTTTGAAAAACATCTATGAGTTGGTCGAGACATCGTTTTATTTAATACAAGTTTGTTTCCAAGCATACGCATTCCGTAAACAAAATTTATAAGCGACTAAATTTTAGGCACATTAGGCATGCATGGCTCAGGTTTTCTTATGTGCGTTGTTTTGGGAGAAATTTCCCCAAATCTTTTAGTTGGCACAATGTCACATCCTTGGTGCTGTTCGAAAAGCATACAAGTACTGACATCGTGGTGGCAGTATAATAGTAGTGATAACATATTACTAGAGTAGTAGTTTTATGCAGTGGCTTCGGTGACAAACATTTTAGTTTCGGCTGTTTGGCGGGAGATTCTGGCCTAAGCAGCACTGGAACATCACCGTAACTTTACAGTGTGGCTCTAAATATGCACATCTTTGTGTGGCATCCTCACGCCGAAACCTCACGTACAAGAAAACTAAAAAGCCATTTTTAGCCATAAGGTATCCGAAACACCAGAGGAAAGTTTATTGCCTGACGGAAGGACCAACCACTTTCCTGTCGAACAGTTTGAGAGCATTACTTACTAGCAAGAGCGTTTCGCACTTTGTTTAACGGTTAGTGCCAAACAGATGTCGCATTTGCACGCGAAGCTCAAACAAAATATGGCAATTGGGAAATGATGTAAACTCCAACCAAAAAGTTTCCCAGTTTTCATACCCAACCAGACGAACATCTGTAGAATGTTTACATTCAAAATATGCCAACGGTTGCTGAGTAATCAAAAAATTACATTACTGTTGTTGCCTAATTTTAACTGTGGATCACATTTGAGAGTTTTGCAAGAATAACTATCGCTTAATTCGGTGACACACAGACTGGATTACTGAGCCCTACCGAAAGGATTGAACCAGTCTTGTCTGAAGCGGGACAAGCCTCGGGAAGAGTGCCACATATAGTGCGTAATATACAGCGACCCGTTGGATCCAGACCACTTATCATGGAGAGGAGAAAAGGTAAGCTTAAAAGTACGCACAGCAGATCTAGTTGTGGAGCATTCGTATTGCGCTGATCTCCACAGGTGCCGCGTGTACAGGAAGCGCCACCAGACATGCACACGCGCCGAGGAGTTTTTCTGTCTTCTTCCTTTTTCCAACGCACTGCGATTTGTCAAGTTACGCTCGGCCTTTGTGCTGCCCTGGGCTACTATTTATAGCCATTGCTGAATTCCGGCGAGTATCCTACTCCTTGAACCCTTAATCGAATAGACCCCGACCAATCGCACTCGTACCTCCAGTGTGGCAGCGACTCATGTGCTTTCGATCTTAAGCTCTTGCTGTGCCCAGCCCTCAATGCATATCTGACCATCATGAATGAGCAACAGGATACATCTTTGAAGAGCAACATCCTTCACACAAAACACCAGGCTGTTCAGAGGGCTCACGACATCGCGACGAAACTTCCTGCGGTTCCATCAGCGGCAGAGCCACCGACTTAATCTTGATATGGGGGGGGGGGGGGAGGGACTATGGCTCCCTTAAATATTTGATCGTCAGGACGTAAGTAAAGTTCTCGTCATGCCATGTCATGTTAAATTCTGCTAATTATCCACTCTCTTTCAACCGGACAGCTGCTATGGCCTCTCTGGATGATTTGAATGACAGTCATGCTGAAAGTAGACAAGATGATGGAATTGGTCGGTGTTCACATTAGCCCCTGTTCTATTCTCCTATAGCGTTATTCACATGCCACACGTTCTCTTAGGGGACGTGCCACGCTCATATGGTAGGCTAGAGACATCATACTCATCTTGTTGATGACAGTCACGAAATTTAGTTGTACCAGGGCTGGGATGGTTAAGCAGTTTGGAATGTGAGGTAGTTAATGGGAGGAGGAGGGAGTGCGAACATGAGTGTTTTGTGTACCACTAAACAAGTGTTCGAGAGTGTAGTTCCTGTGAAAGCTATGACATTAATCTTTTGTCACTAAAAGGCGCTACACCGCCATGATGACATTGTAAATGAGAGCATTGCAGCTCGACGTTTTATTCAGATACTTCGGTTATATTACATGTAATAAATGCTCATTAGGTCGACTCGAGAACCATTCACTCTTGCAAAACATACGCCGTGTTCGTTGTGTAGGGGTGGCTTAAGCGTTAATCATCGAGTTGGAAGTTTTGCGTCTGCAGTTTCTTGACCTTAGATTGCGACCGTTCACTTTACTCAAAAACTGTTAACCCGATGTAAAATAGGTATACTGTTTGTTAATTAGAGATAAATAACAATCAAAATATCGTAGGCAACGTAATCAATTACAAGCTGTCACTACGAATGCGACAACCTTCATGTGCATCCAAAACATGTGCTTCGTAAAGCCAGTTGGGTACTCTTGCCTCAGGATTGCTACCTTATTAAATTCAACTCTCATTACCAAACAATACACGTATGCAAGTGGAAAAGAAACACTAACCACAAAATATACAACATAATCTTTTTGTGTAATCAAACAAACAGAATTCTGGTCGCGGAAAATGATGTAAGAAAACCCCCGTGGGAAGTGGGCGAAATGTCTTGGTGTTTGCCTTTGAGAGCGACCAATCAGAATTTGATGTCTTAGTCTTCTGTCGGGTGCTTTATAGAGGTACCTCCTGGCTTCTTGTAATGGTTTCTAGTAATCGGAAATCTTCACCTCCTGAGAAAGTGCAACATTGCGAGAAATTGCAGGTCTTTGGAGTTATTAGGAACATGTACTACAGCGTTCCCAGCACGGATGGTCAGCGCACATGCAGAATCGCATCTTCATCGTGAGACTTGAATACGTCCACTGCAGGGCAAAAAAGTATCCCATGACCCACCTATGAACCCAGTCGTGGGCTTTCTGCTGCCACGTTCAACCTGAAAAGCTTCAAAATCTCATCTGTCTACCTAATTTTCTGTCCACAGCGTCTCGCCTTTGTCTTTCCTTGAAACACAGCCAGTTACCCTTAATCGCCGGTAGGTATAATTCCTGTGTGCTACGGCGCAGGCGCAAGGTCCATTTTTACTTCTTGGTTTCCACTATGAATTATAGCTTTAAGCCAACTGAAGTCGCCAAGTTCAGTCATCTGAAGCTTTAAAAGGAGATATATAGAGGGCAGCTGCTTTGTTGTGGCTAGAGACTGCATTGTTAACGTAAGTGTGAAGTCGTACGTAGGGCAACTAAAAAAAATGAAGAGGAGAGAAGCATACACTGGGTTTCTTCTTCTTCCGAAGTGAAACAGGGCATATGTAGGAAAGGGTGCTTATACTTCACTAGCATCGTCAAAAAAACTCTGTTTGGCTGCAGTTGATTTTAAGATAGTGCTTGTTCCTGTTTTTTTTCCCTATAAGCCGCTATTTCTGTTCTCCACGGCATGTAGGCAATGTTGTTGCAGCTGAACAAAAACGTCGTCGGCGATTCCTTCGGCTAACTGTTACCATGCTTCATTTTCACTCACACACCATGACGACAAGAGACAGCCAACCAGTTCAGCCCCTGAGCTACCATGGGCGTGTGAACTTGAAGTTGTGGGCTCGTATTCATATTAGAGAACAGCGCAATGCAAAGAAAAACAAGCGCTGGTTCTATCTAATTTTGTCTTATTTGTTGTATTGCTTTCTTTTCTAATGTTGACCAGACAGACACCCGGCCATTGAAAGCTGCTTTTTTGACCAGCTGTTCAAAACCGGTGGACACTGCACTCACTCTTTCCTGGTATAACGCATGAAATTTCTAGAAAAATAAAGAGCTCAAACAGTCCCAGTATAGCCTGACAAACCGCTCAACAGGTTGGAAGACACTACGAAAACTTCTTGGATGACCTTGATTCACTGTTAACAAAGAGTTATAAAAGACACAACTCCTTATTTTGCGTTAACATTATCAGAGCCACCACAGCCACGCTACCTCAATGTTGCCGAGAACGTGTTTTCAAGAACTCACTTTTATGTTGCCGCTCTCAGACACTATTCTGAATCATTGTCGTTTTTCCATATCTTATGGCCGCACAGAATTTGTCGTAAGAATTATCATTAGATTTCGTCATCTCTAAAAAAACTGCATGATGATTACATGTATGCTATTATTGCACTGGAAGTCTCGGGAAAACGAACGAATCAATAGTCAACTGCAATACTTGTGAGGTTCTTAATTTATAGTGCTTTGGCTTCATGGGTATGAAAGTATTTAAAGTGGTGGGCTGTCTTCGTCGTTTCAGATACAGCGCCTGGAATTTGCCGCGACAGGTATCTCCCTGAAAATGTAACCATTGAAATCTACGTCATTTCTGATGAGGTCCACAACAGAAGATTTACAAAGAACGATCTTTGGAGATACATATGCATCTTTATAAACAGTGTAAGAATAATTAAATGTGTGACAATCTGCCAAGTACAGAGCAATGTCAATTTGTAATGAGCGTTTGTGCCTGTCAAATTAGCCTTATTTTGTAGGCATCACAAAGGTGTACACTACGCGTTTGAACATGACCATATAATCTACTGATAACTATTAAATTCAAGAGAAAATCTATGCAGAGAAGATTTTCTTGCCGAAACAGTTTAAATAAATAAACAGACAATTTTTAACAGAACAGGCCAACACGGGTGCTATTCGCAATTTGTGCCAGCGATCCTGGGCCGGATCTACGGATCTCCCACCACTAAATGCAAGTAATAAAAAAGTCAAATTAAGCTCAGGAGCTAGTGTTTGACCTTTTAAACTTCATTGTAAACATTTTGCTTTTAGGAAAAGAAGTTATATGGGGTTTTTATTTATTTTTACAACTAGACTAATTCATCTTCATTTAACCCACATTACTAGACTTCAGTTGAAACAGCGAATAATGTCCTCTGGGCATTCGTTGACTTAATTTTATGTTGATTTAATTAGGATTTATCAAAAGTTATACCGCAGTTAATGGTGGTTAACTTTTATGCATAAATAATATGCCATAATGGTTCTGTATTCAAAAACAATACTAATTGAGAGCTCGCTTCACAGATATTATGGTGTCAGAGTGATTGTCCTCACTTATGAGCCAAATATTTATGTTGTCCGTGACTGAAAATTTTACATATAGGCAGATAAATAAGTACTGCGGTATCACTGGCCCGAGTAAGTATTCGACCAGGCTGTCTGCATCATACAGGTTTTCGACTACGCAGCCACGCCAGCGTATATATGAAACTGTGTCGTATATACGCTATAAGAATGTTATATATTTAGAGAAAACTCGTTACCGCTACTTTGTATTGCGAGGCAGAATTGTAAAATAGCACATAACGTAAAAAACTGAAGAATTGCGAGACATATGAGTAGTATAAATTGGGGTACTCATTACAAAGTGAAAAGCTGCGCAGGTCTACATGGCACCTTACAGGTGCCTACTGGGTATATAGCCTACTTCAACAGTTTGCGAAAATGGAAGAAATATGGCGTAACAGGCGATGCCTCAATGTAAACAATTGGGCACAGTAGCATAGCTTCAGACGGGCAACATACGTGCACAAAAATTCCTTTTTTGTCGTCGTGGTTGAAAGTGCCGTGATCTGCGCTTGATTGCGCCACCGCGTTCCGCTCTCAAAGACAAAGTTCAAGTGGCCTCGATGTTTTTTTTCTTTATTTTTGTAATGTGCATCCCATATTTTTTCCGCATATAAACAAGACCAATATGCCAGCATTAATACTCACTGGACGGCAGTCACTGGCATGCATCTTCCATCGCTTCGAGATTTTTTTTTTTTTGCAGATGCTGTTTGCTTTCTGATTTTTTAGCATTCTCTCGTTGTGAATATTTAGGGTCTTCAGCTCGATCCAGCCGATTCACAACCGTTTGCTGTGCTAACAGTTGCCAACATCTTTTTTGTGTATACCAGGGATGATTATTCGGATTAAATCTGTTTCTATGGCTCATACACGTTGATAACAATGGTAGTTTTCAGCAAGGTCACACAGTGGCGCATACCCGCTTATGTTATCGTAGTTTACTGAGCTGGACTCACACGCAAATATTTTCAAAGAGGTTCACTGTTAAAATATTATATATAATATTATTATAGTAAAATATATTATTTAATTATGCAGTAAAAATACACCTAATGGTTTGTCCAAAAGCGCACTTAGTACACTGAAGATTGGGCTTGTGAGAACTATACAGACATTTGAAAACCCGCTGATATCCACCACAAAAAACAGAAAAAAACGTTGACGTTGAAATGTGCTAATGTTGCTGCTATTGCTGTTTTTTTTTTTTTTGCAGATTAACGCCATATTTATGAGTCTGAGTTGTCCCAAAGTAAGGTTGGCCCTTGTCGGGCTAGAAATCAGTAGTAAGGTTAGTATTGATTATTTGTTACCATCAAAGAACAAAATGAGCAAACACGCCGTAAGACACTTTATATACCGTATTTCGCAGACTGCTGAAGCTCAATACGTTTATGGCAGCGACAAACTATTGAACGACCTGTTTACTCTTTACAACCTTAAAGACTACGTCGAAAGAAAATGGAAGCATACAGAAACCCCTGATCTGGTGCTACTTCTCACAGGGTAAGAATATCCAGAGCTGAATACTATTTTTCTTAAAATGATGTAGCTTACGAAGTCGCGCAAAGCCGGCTCTCAGCAGAGCTCGTGGGCATAGAGTTTCCTAAAATTAACTTAGAGGGGACTCTGGCGCTGCGATCGTTCAGCGACCATGGGAATGATGGGTAGACCACACATTTGCCTAGTCTTCGTACTTGCAGACGGTGAATAGTACTTGTGGCTTCCTTTAATGCCGTGTTTCGGTTCTGTTTTGAAAGAAAGCGGAAAACCCTTTTAACCTTCGTTGCCTGATTTGGAAAGGTAAGCCTAACAGAATAAAGTGGTGAAGCGTAACCGCTGAACATTTCCTGATTTCTCTTTCGTAAGAAAACAGCTCGAAGTAACACTAACACATACGGAGCCAAACGTACGAAGATTAAACAAATTCGTGCTACTACCCATCATTACCATGCTCGCTGAAGCACCGTGCGTTGCAGCTTCTCTAAACAATAGTGCCAGAGTTTCCCTCTATAAGGTATATTTAGGAAACTCTAAGCTTGCAGGCACGTACCTGGACCTGCCTTAGCTTTGCTATACCTTCTGTCTTCTTCTCAACATTCGTTTTATATATATAGCATGACTACATTATACTACACTATACTAAGATGTATTATAATATGAAATACACAGCAATACTTACACTCTTTTTATCATAATTGAGTCAATGTTTTTCTATCTCTTTCTCTTTCAATCTGCTTATTTTTGCCTTTGTGTGTTTTTCGAGCTGTTTTCTTCTCTTTCTCTATCTCTTGCTATGTCTTTCTCTTTTTTTCTACGTCTTTCTTTCACTGGCCATCTATGTGTTTATGTCCTCAACCAAGAAACTACAACTGCTAAAAATTTATAGCACGTATGAGCCGCAGAATTTGAATCACACTACTCGCTACACCTGTCCACTAAATATTTATAAGGCATCACAAAGGTGGCAAACACCGAGAAGAAACTTGGCTGTTTAGCTTCAGTTGTGAACTGTTTGTACATACTTCTTGGAAAGTGACTCAGGGTAAGCAAGTTAATGATGATGATAATTTTCTATCAACTAAATACCGGAAACGTCATCAAAAAACTTCTGTTGCAAAACAATGCCACCATGCCTACTGATGGTGAATGTTTGTGAACTTTACTACATATGTCTTTAAGACGCATTGTCATTTCAGCATAACTCGTACGCTACCCAACATTTAACTGTAGTACATAAAAGTGTTACAGTCTTACACTGCCATAGGCCACCTTAAAATTACATATCGCATCGCATTTTGCTGAGATCTGCAAGCTGAAAATTCCTGGGGAGCACGCTTTAAGTAAAAAAAACGGAAGAGAGTTTTTACGTTTTAACGACACAACATTACTCACGAATTACTAAGTCTTTATTTTTCCAAAAGTATACCTAAGTACACACTAGTACACTCTAGTTTACCAGAAGAGATGTGTGACTAGATAAACAGGTACAAAAGCACCGAGAGAGACATGGTCTTCGAGGCATAATTTTAAAGCAGGAATTTCGAAACGAATATGCAATACTGCATCTTTTGAAAATTAACAAAAAAATAAATGGTGTTGCGCATTTTCTTCACAAAATACAGCCGTTTAGTGTGATAACGTGTATTCTCGCATTCATATATTGAAAAATAAAGTATTTATCACTTTCTAGGCGAGATATTTACGAGAGTACCAGTAGAGGAATCAGGAGGGATATTACAGGTGCGTATAATGCGTTGCTTGCTTCATAGTTTAGTGGTCTTTGAATGCTAGAGACTAGTTTCATATATACAGGCAGCATTATTTGTAGGCACTTCAATATTTTAATACTTAGATAGTTAAGTGCTGCTTCTACTAATACCACGAGTTTATGATATTCAGCATTGCTTTTTGTAAAACATCAAGTTTTTTAAGTATTTAAGTTGATTGCAATCAAAGCACACGTTCTGGCTATCATCCGTGAGTGGATAGTTCCGGTATAGTTGGCCAGTCACAGCTTGTCACAAAAACTGTTGCAAGAATAAATAAAATTGACAGTGAGAAGTTCTGATAGCACCTGGGCGGAGCACAAATTTCTGAATTTGTGGCTAAACTTAAGGAACCTATATTTGGTTAAATAATAGTTCTGAAGGCGTTGATAAGATTCATACAAACTACATTTATTTATCCTTAGCCTATGACAGTATACTGGTGCATCTCAGCTTATTGCACGCCATTCACGCACTAAAAAGGTTGCTACCGCGATGCTTTTAGAGTGATTTATTGATGTGTGGCATGTAAGATTGCAAAATCACCACATAATTATGAGAGACGCCGTAGTGGAGGGCTCCGTTAATTTCGACCACCTGAGGTCCAAATCTGAGAACATCGCCCTACAGCAGCTGTTTGGTATAAATGTATTCAAATACGCACCTGTGCAACGATTGTGGAAAGCGTCTGGATGAAAGTATTGTTTTTGCTTTGTTTCTAGCTACAAATACACTTTTTAATGTATGTTATATCAAGCTTTTCCTCTTATATCTATATTTCCCAATATCTAGCGTATGTTACAAGACTTGTCACTCCTATAAAACATTGCTAAAAGTAACTTTTCTTTTTTCGAAAATGTGAAATGTTCTCGGCTTTTGCAGGAATTGCGTTTGAAGGTGGTGTTTGTACGGAACATCGTGTGGCTCTAGCAGAAGACGTGCCTGGTTCTTTTAGTGGTATTATCGACGCTGCGCATGAGCTCGGGCATAGGTAAGTAACATGCTGCCATCGTCTTACTAGTAGGACGGTTGATAATCTAGGAAAAAAGAGTTCTATTTTTTTATGGCTGCTTCTAGTTCTTCCGCTTTCTAGTCAAAGATATCAAAATTGGAGCCAATGTCTTGTCGACTCTATTACTATGAAGAAAAAAAAAGACGCGCGAAAGAAGACTAGTATATTACGACCCCACTCTGCCTAATTTGACTTACCTTCGTACTTCGACCAAGCCAAGTCCGAGCTTCACATAAAGGTTAGAGGATGATTGAGGTCAGCATTCAAGAGAAAGAAAGAGACTAGAACTTTATTTAAGTGAGAAGAGAATGGAATATCTAGGAGCTTCTATAGAATGATGCTTACGTCCAGAGCTCCACTGCCCTCAGCCGCGCGTCGGACTTGATCCAGGAGCGCTTGCCGCACTCCTAGGTCTGGGCTGGCGAGTTGTGCCTCTCACTGTTCCATACTGGGTGTAGAGGTTCGTCGAGAAAAACGACCAAATTCTTTTGCTTACGATCGCACCCCCACGAGATGTGGTGGAGAGTCGGCCTACAACCGATCAACGGCCACACGGCCGGGCATAGTGTCGGTTGCATCTCGTGCAGATTTAGTAGGTGTGGAGATACGTCCGTATGAATTATTCTAAGGTTGGCATCTTCCTTATAGAGGGATAAGTGAGGCGTAGGGCTGGTCGAAGTAGCGCAAGAGGTCCGCCGGCAGCACTTGGTTGCACCGCTGCCGAAAATTATGCATCGTGACTTTCACGCTGGCAGACGTAATGCAAGAGTGAACTGGCTCTGTGAACAGTTTGGATCAGTTTCTAACGTCGCGTACGTCGATGCGGCTAGCTATGATTGGCAGATACGCGTATTACTGTCGTCGATGACAACATGTAACTGCGGATGAGTGCCTTCTAAAACATTTGTTTATAAACAAAAATAACATTTTGAATATTCTAAGGGATGTAAGTGCGAATTATAAGTAAAGTTTCCCCGACTTCCAAGCATGAATTATACGTGGCAATGGGAGTGAGAATTAGGATCGACGGTGTTGGACAGTAAATATCTGTTTGCAAAATGCCACGCTTTACGCCACTACAGTTCAAAACAGCACACACGCTAAGCATTCATTTCATTTCTGCATGAATTTTTTTTCAGTTTAGGGGCCTCACACGACGGATCGCAACCAAACCGATATATTCCAGGTCACCCTGGATCATTGAAGTGCCCACCTAAAAGCGGCCATTTGATGACGTACGTGGATGGTGGACCACTTCGATACAAGTTCTCCCAGTGCAATCAGGAAGAAGTCCGCTACGTGCTTAGGTAAGTCGCACGTTCGTGCGACGCGGCCGTTTGATTGATGTAACAAGAGGTATATCAGTAAACATTTTCTGGCTTTAGCGCAAGGCACTTGTACGCAGTAAGTTGAGTGAATGTGTAGCAGTTCGTGTTCAAAATCGTCTGCATGATCAGCTTATGCACCCGTGCTCAGAAGGTCGTTTCCAAACTTCAAATTATTAGAATCTTGTTCATTATGCCGGTATTACAGAATGCGGGGGCAGAAGTGTTGGAACGTCAACGCTTTGAATTTCTACTCCTTGAAGGACGTTTATCCAGGTGCCTTACTCAGTCCCACGGACTTCTGCAGAAGATTTTACAAGAACAGAGACATGTACAGTCCTATGGTAAGACCACTGCTTATGCATTTATTTCTTCACTCTATTAAACCACTGTCTCCAAAGGTATCTTTAAGGGTGTGTGTTGCTTCAGTGTGTGCATAGTTTCTTACTGTGAATATATATATATATATATATATATATATATATATATATATATATATATATATATATATATATATATATATATATATATATATATATATATATATATATATATATTGTTACGCACAAGGAGGACCAGGACGTATACGGCTGAAGGGGGCCGTTTATTTTGGTCGCGAAGAGAAGCGCCGGAGCGGCCAACAGGTTGATGATCGCAGTCTCGTCGTCTTCTTTCTTCCTCCAGCTTGGGGCAGTCAGCATGTTCACCCATCTTCGTTTTCTTCCAAGGCATGCGTAACATTCCTCCCCTCGATGACGAAGCCCGCCGGGCGAGGTAACCGATTCGCCTTGGTGTGTACAACTTCAGTCGAGCGACATGGACTGCTTGGGTATTAGCGGCTCTTCTACCACTTCTCGTGAGGCGACCTATTGTGTATGTGACTTCCGTGATTTCGTCGAGAACGACAAACGGTCCGTCGTATGTGGTCAAGAACTTTTGGCATAACCCGCGTCTTCGTACCGGAGTCCACAGCCACACTAAGTCGCCTGGATGGTAAGTTACAGGCCGGTGGCGGACGTCATAGCGTACCTTCGATTTTTCCTGTGATGCAAAAGTGGGTAGACGAGAAATACGACGCGCTTCTTCTGCAAGGCAGAGGATTTCGGTGACTGAGAGGTTCTCATGCGCCGAGAATGGCAAAACTGTGTCGAGTGTGTGCCGCGGCGGTCGTGCATACATCAAGAAAAAAGGGCTATAGCCTGTTGTCTTGTGCTTAGCGGTATTGAACGCGTACGTTATAAATGGTAGCACGTCATCCCAGTTCTTGTGGTCGGATGCCACATACATAGAGAGCATGTTTACAATTGTTCGGTTGGTACGCTCCGTGAGCCCATTTGTTTGCGGATGGTATGGCGACGAGTGACGAAGGCGGGACTCACTCAATCGAAACAGCTCTTCTACTATGTCTCCGTAAATTGTCGCCCGCGATCACTGATGATCACCTGAGGTGGGCCATGTCGGAGGATAACGTGCTGCAGCAGGAACACAGAGACCTCGCTGGCAGTTGCGGTTGGTATGGCCGCCGTCTCGCAGTAGCGCGTGAGGTAATCGACACTTACAATTATCCAGCGATTGCCCTTAGCCGACTTTGGAAAAGGGCCCATGAGGTCAATGCCCACCTGTTGGAAAGGTGTGCTTGGAGGTGGCAAGGGCTGTAGAAAACCAGCCGGAGCAGTAGACGGGCGTTGGTGGCGTTGACACTGTGTGCAGCTGGCCACATACGCCTCGACTGACTGTCGCATTCCTGGCCAATAAAAGCGTTCCTTAGCACGGTAAAGCGTCCGCGCAGAACCTAAATGTCCGGACGTAGGATCATCGTGCATCACACCTAAAATTGCTGTCCGAAGGGTTTCTGGCACTACCAGGAGGAAACGTGCACCAGTGCTGGAAACGTTCTTCTTATATAGGAGTCCGTTGCGTACACAGAAATGGCATGCCGTAGGAGCTGTGCAAAGCGATGATAGCCTGGTGTCCTTTCGCTGTTCATCTTTGAAAGTACTGAGGTCGGGAAACTTCGGTGACACAGAAGCTACGAGGTGATCGAGGTCATCGGCGCCACACTCTGTAGTGCTCAGTGGCATGCGCGAAAGGCAATCTGCGTCGGCGTGTCGTCGACCACTTTTGTACGAGACTATGAAGTTATACTCTTGGAGCCGAAGTGCCCAGCGCGCTAGACGGCCGCAAGGATCCTGAAGGTTGACGAGCCAACAAAATGAGTGGTGGTCGGTGACAACTGTAAAAGGGCGTCCGTATAAGTAAGACCGAAACCGCTGAATCGCAAATACTACCGCGAGGCATTCTTGTTCTATGACAGTGTAATTCTGTTCGGGCCTACTCAAGGAGCGACTTGCGTATGCAATCACGTGCTTGCGGTTACCATAGCGTTGAACTAGGACGGCACCAATTCCTATGCCGCTGGCATCTGTGTGCAGTTCGGTTGGAGCTGATGGGTTGAAGTGTTGAAGAACAGGCCGCGACGTCAGGAGGAGCTTCAGTTGACGAAAAGAGGAGTCGCACTCCGGAGTCCACTCGAAGGGAGTATTCTTCCGTAGCAAACATGTTAGCGAATACGCGACATCGGCAAATTTGGGTATAAAGCGACGAAAATAGGAGCAAAGCCCCAAAAAACTGCGGAGCTCCTTCACAGAACGCGGCACATTGAATGCTTCAACGGCTGCTGTCTTCTGGGGATCTGGACGGATGCCCTCCTGATCGACTAGGTGCCCGAGAACAAGGGTTTGTCGGTCTCCGAAGTGGCATTTCTTTGAGTTAAGAACAAGGCGAGCGTTTCTTATGCAAGTCAGTACAGTATCCAGACGTGAATTGTGTTCGCTGAAGGTGCGGCCAAAGATGACGACGTCGTCGAGATAGCACATGCAAATGCTCCACTTCAAGCCACGAAGAACAGTGTCCATAAATCGCTCGAACGTCGCCGGCGCGTTGCACAGTCCAAATGGCATCACGTTGAATTCAAAAATGCCGTCAGGTGTTACAAAGGCTGTCTTTTCTTTATCTTCAGGATGCATGGGAATTTGCCAGTAGCCCGATCTTAAGTCTACAGAGGAAAAGTAAGAGGCCGAATGAAGACAGTCTATGGCATCATCAATACGTGGAAGTGGGTACACGTCTTTTTTGTTACAGCATTCAATCGGCGATAATCGACGCAAAATCTCCAGGATCCTTTCTTTTTAACGAGAATTACTGGAGCTGCCCATAGACTTACCGACTCTTGAATGATACCGTTTTCAATCATTTTGTTCACCTGCTCATTAATAATCCGCCGCTCGGATGGCGAAACACGGTATGGCTTTTGTCTAATTGGATTGGCCAAACCCGTGTTGATAGTGTGACATGTCCGAGAAGCAGGGATTAGGGGCGCTTTGTCTTTCTGCGCAAAGTCGAATGCAGAGACGTGCTTCGAAAGTACATTGACCAATGTTCGGCGTTCACTTGTGCTCAGCGACTTATTCACTATTGACAGAAGAGCCGTTTCGAAACTGTGACTACGATGCTCTTCCGGCGCATCTCTAAGCTCGGTCACCAGTAAGGCCTCGTGTTGTCCACTCACGACGGCTAACTTTAGACCATCTGGTAACATCACGGGTTTTGTAGAGCAATTGACAGTCCATAAACCAGCGCGTCCACGTCTGATCGACACCACACAATGTGGGATCAACACATTCTTTTTCATGCAGTTTGTGTACACTGGCTCTACGTTGGCATCAAAGCTGGCGGAATAGCTGTCGCTGCAACCAACAGGTACACGAACGGTTGATAACGGTGGTATGATAGTGTCGCCACAGACACACAATGCCGTCTCACCATCCACAGGGTTTTCCAAGAGTGCTGGCGGAACGTGATCATTCAAGACTATTGTCCCTGTGAGGCAGTCGACAGTCGCACCACACTCCCTCAAAAAGTCCATACCCAAAATAACATCATGTGTCGCCTGCGGAATAATCACGAACTCCGTTGGGATAACACGGCCTCCGAGAAATACGTTAGCTTGACACACACCAACAGGATGCAGTGCCTCACCACTCACTCCGCAAAACTTCGCAGCTTGATTCCACCTAAATAATACCTTCCGCCCCAAGATATCTTTAAAACACGCACTCATGACCGAAATGGTTGCCCCCGTATCCACCAAAGCCATCACAGGCACACCGTCAACAAAAACACGTACTGTAATGATGATTGGGGTCATGCAAATCTCGCCACACACATTGTCAGTGCTAAGCACGAGACGCTCGGCCCGGACTGTCGCTGATTTTGATAGCTAGGCCTACGCTTCTACCTGGTCTTGGATAACAGTTTTGACTGTCTCCGTTCTATATTATAATTGGTGGAGTTTGCTGGGTCTCCTTGCAATCCTGGAGTTGCGAAGCCGGACTCTACCATGACCACTGCCATGACCACTGCATCTGCCACAAGCCCTCCTCCTATGGCTTCCCAGGCCATCGTGTGCTCCGGCGCGGTCCGTCAACGGGATCCTCCCATATTCAGCGGCACTGACGAGCACGACGTCGACGACTGGCTGGCTACTTACGAACTCGTGAGTGTCTTGAACAAATGGGACGAAGCCACGAGACGGGCCACTGTCGGCATTTACCTCAGTGGCATTGCCCACTTATGGCTTCGGAACCATGAGACCGACGTTCCCACCTGGACAGCATTCAAAGCAAAGTTCAGCGAAGTCTTTGGTCGTCTTTCTGTCCGCAAACTTCGTGCGGAGCAGCGCCTTCAGTCGAGATCTCAACTGCCTGGTGAGAACTTTACAAGTTACATAGAAGACGTCATTGACTTGTGCAAGCGCGTCGATGTGAACATGACAGAGGTGGACCGCATCAAGCATATTTTTAAGGGTATTGACGAGGACGCTTTCCAGATGCTCATTTCAAAAAGCCCTGCTACTGTCGCCCAAGTTACCGAGCTCTGCCAAAGCTATGATGAGCTCCGCCGGCAACGTCTCGTCACCCGCCGTGCTGTCCCACATCAGGAATCGATGTCCGGCTTAACTCCCTCGCAAGACCCCGTCCTCCTCTCGCAGATCAAAGATTTTGTGCGCGAAGAAGTTGCCCGCCAACTCTCGCTCATCTCTGGCCTACCGGAGCGCAGTGCACCGCTTAGCCCTACTCTACGGACTATTATACGAGATCAAGTGTCTGAGGTCCTTCCTCCACAGCTGGTGCCACCAGTCAATGCACCATTGACGTACGCCGAAGCAGCAGCACGACCACGACCACAGACGTTCCAAGCGCCGCCTCCACAGCCTGCTCCTGTTTATGCCGCCCAGCCGCCACGACCTCCACTTCACCGAGTCCCTAATCCATGGCGCACTGCC